TCCCTGATGGTGTTTGGATAACACAATTGCTGCTGTGTGGGTGCTCCTTTCTCTTCAGGGGTAGGCAACCTTGGCTCGTGGACTTCAACTTCCAGAATTCCTGAGCCAGCCATGCTGAGGGAAAAGAGAGGTTTCCAAGCTGAGCCATGCTGGCTCAGGAATTCTGGGAGTTGAAGTCCACGAGTCATAAAAGAGCCAAGGTTGCCTACCCCTGAAGAGAAAGGAGCACCCACACAGCAGCAACTGTTATCCAAACACCATCAGGGTGATTGCCCTTGGTGATTTTCCCATCCAACCAAAAAAAAAAAAATCCATGAGGGAAGTCAGATTTGCTTAATGACTACATGATTCACTTAGAAGCTGCAGCTATTTGCTTAACAACCATGGCAATTGTACTGGTGCTCCTGAACAAAAGGCAGGATGTCAATCAAAACAACTAGGGCAACAACTTCTTATGCAAATATTTGTCTTCTGGAAGAATTTACAGTGCCAGATTTAAGCTTGGAGAATGTATGCAGTAAATGAAGGAGAATATTTGTAGCTCGGGGTTGACATTGGTGCTCTCTGAGCTTGCTTGTTTTCTTGCAGACATTACCCTAACTAGGTAACATCATCAGTGCTAGTAAGGAGTACTGTTTGTAATCAGTTTATATCAGGGGTCTTCAAACTTGGCCCTTTTATGACTTGTGGACGGCAACTCCCAGAATTCCTCAGCCAGGCAAGTCATTAACGGGCCAAGTTTGAAGACCCCCGGTTTATATTCTGGTGTTTTGCTTGTCTGTGTGGGTGGGGGAGGTCTTAACAGTGTTTCTCAACCTTGACAATTTTAAGGCATGTGGACTTCAACTACCAGAATTCCACAGCCAGCAATGCCTTAAAATTGTCAAGGTTGAGAAACACTGTCTTAGAAGATTTTTCGATAGGGCTGTTTACTAATGGCTCTTTGGCAGTTTCTCTGTTGGGATATTGCTTACCACTTGATTGTTGGTCTGAAATTGACCTTGGAGTTAATCTATGCTGATCTGGGTGTTGATTACTGGTGGGGAGGTGCTTGGGTCTTTTCGTTCCGTTTTGGATTGTGTAATTGTCTCTTGCACAGTCTATAGATATTGTTAATGTCCATGTGTCTATTGATGGCTGATTTGTCAGAGTGCCAGGCTTCTAGAAATTCCGAGGCATTTTTTTCGATTTGGCCTGCTCTAGGATTGTCCCATTTTTCCAACTGAAACTATGGTTAAATCTGTCTATATGTTGTGAAAATAAAGAATTTTCATCAAGTCTTTTGACTGTCAGTTGCTGTTCATGGATGCGTCCTGCCAGATCTTCTGCCTGTTTGTCCTACACAGTGGTTATTGCAGTTTTTACGTTGTGTATTGTAGATGACTCCTGTTTTTTCTTCTGGGGTTGCTGGGTCTTTTGCTTTGCTTAGGATGTTTTGAAGGGCTTGAGTTGGCTTGTGTGCTACGCTGATTCCATGTGGTTGTAGCAGTCTAGTTGCGGCTTCTGAGTTATTCTTGACACATGGCAGTGTAATTCTTTTTAGGGTTTGCGTTGGTTGTGCTACATTAGATTGAGTAGTCAGGGACTTTTTGATGAAGTTGCGTGGGTATCCATTTTGTTGGAATGTGTTGTAGAGACACTCCAACTCCTTTTTCTGCTATTCTGGATTGCTGCAGTGTGTTTGTGCTTGTTTAAATAAAGTTCTTACACAGCTTCTCTTGTTGGAGGTTGGGTTATTGCTTTGGTAGTGGAGCACCTGGTTAGTATGGGTGGTTTTTCTGTAGACTTGCGTTTCTAGTTTGCCATTGTTGTCTCTGCTGATCAAGATGTCTAGGAAGGGTGGCGAGTTCTTGTTTTTTTCTTCTCTAATAAACTGGATTCCTTTAAAAATGTTGTTGATGGTTCTGTGGGTGTTCTCTAACTCAGGGTTCCCCATCCTGTGGGCCGCGGCCCGGTAGTGAGCCAAGGCCTGCTGGCCACCGGGCTGCGGGGCAGGTTGGCCAGTGTGCACGCATGTGTGTGCACACCTCACTTGCGCTAGCACTGTGGCTGCAGGGCGCAAAAATGGGATGCCGCTGCACCGGCATCTGCAAGTCAGAGGCAAAGCATCTCTATAATATTTCATATTCATAATCTTTGATGCATTTTAAAAAAATTATCCATAGTACATTCCCTTTCTAGGTCTGAAAGAATTGTCTGGAGCTTTCATTCAGCTAGGCCAGCGATTTCCAACCTCTGCCACTTTAAGATATATGAACTTCAACTCCCAGAATTCCTCATGCTAGCTGGGGAATGCTGGGAGTTGAAGTCCACCCATCTTAAAGTAGCCAAGGGGTTTATTTTCTCTCCTGCAATATTTAGAAATTTTCCCTATCACAAAGAGAAACCAGCTTTGCCCAACATTCTCTCATTCTACTCTTCTGATTTCATTTTCATTCAGGTTTGTTTTATTTTCAAATAAAGTCTTTGTAGAGAGCAGCTTTTATCTGAGAAGAGATACTCTATCCCGGCCTCTTTATAACAGTGATCAGGGATCAGTCCATCAGCTTTCAGCTGCTGCAAAACAGCGAGACAGCTGTCACTTCACATGCACACAGAGGAAAGAACAGATTTTAAAAATGGGTGGTATAATCAGAAATCAGGGCCTCCACAGAGTTCACTAAAACATAGCAAAACTTGTTATGTGTTCCCAGCTCCTGGAAAATAGTTTCTTTTTTGTTTTCAAGAGTCCAGGGTTTTCCACAACATAATTTGATGTTGAACCTTATAACTGCTGCAAGATTATTGGTGGGGCAATATTGGAAGAAAAACTTATTGCCTACTTTGGAAGAATGGATACTTAAAGTGTCTAATTTAGCAGAAATGGCAAAAATCTCCGCCTATTTCAAGGATCATTCACAAGAAAGATATATTATGGTTTGGAGAAGATGAATTGATTATATTGAGAAGAAGTATGAAACTGAAAAGTATTACCTTGCTTTTGAATAGATTTTAGATAATTATTAACAGTATTAATTGTATTATTATTTTTGTCTTAATTTGTTAATATTTGTTTTGAGAAGGAGTTAAAGCAGTGGTTCTCAACCTTTTTAATGCTGCGACCCCCCCCAACCGGTCATAAGTCGAGGACTACTCAACCGGTCGTAAGTCGAGGACTACTCAACTGGTGCAGCACCGTTTGCAGAATGGGACTTTTGGCGGGCTCAGCAGGGCAGAGACAGCCTGGACAATTCCTATTGGCTTTTGAAAGCCAATAGAATTAGACTCTATTCAAGAGAGTCTATTCTATTGGCTTTCAAAAGCCAATAGAATAAAAGGGAGTAGCACAGCTAAGGAAAAGGGGAAAAAAATGGCGGACTGCGTTGTTTGGCGACCCCCGTGAAATGGTCGTTCGACCCCAAATGGGGTCCCGACCCACAGGTTGAGAACCACTGAGTTAAAGTGTATTATGGTTTTGATTGCTGGTTTAGTTGGTTTATGTTAGCTAGATGATGTTTGTTTATTTGTTACCCTGTAATCAGCTCTGGGAAGTGGGGGAGGGGGAGAGGGGATGGGTGGGTTTATATTGTAATTTGTAAAACTTTTAATTAAAAAAAAAGAGTCCAGGGTTTTCCTTCCTCCTTTCTCCCACATAAAGGATCAGATGAAAGAATATATGAAAGAATATACAGATGAGGCCCTGGAGATCAGAAGAAGGATCATATGTGGAGATAAGACCCAGATGTGGGTGTAATGAACATGAGAGTAAGGAATATGAATTCTGAAAGAAAGATTTACAATTAAACAACTTTTAATTCTTTCTGCTTACTGGGGGATTTGCAATACAAGCTTGCTAACATTTGCCAATACTTGATAGCATTGTGGGGGGGGGGGCTGCAGTGGGAATAGAGGGGCTGCAGGGGCAATGAAGTGAGGCAGACTCACCTGTCAGAAACCGCTTAGCCAGGATGCTGGGTACATGAATCGCTCACTTAAAAGAAAACCCAAAACCACATAGCTAGAACATGAAACTAGAAACTTTGCAAGATACCTGTGACCTGAGGTGGGCAACAGATGGTGTGACATTTAGCTCTTTTGCATAGAAGGCGAGAAAGCTTTTAGGGCAGGGGTCTTCATACTTGGCCCTTTTATGACTTGTGGACTTCAATTCCCAGTCACATGATCACACTTCTGGCACTTAGCAACCAGCTCACATTTATGACCAAGTTGCAGCATCCTACTATTATGCGATCACTATATGTTGCCTTTTTTTTTGCCGATTTCTGTCAAAAAATGCAACTGGGAAGCTGGATTCACTTAATGACCATGTGATTTACTTAACAACCACAGTGATGTGCACAATGACTGCAGTGAAAATTGTCCCAAAATCAGGTCTAACTTGACTAATCACTGCAACAACTTCCAATGGACATTCCAGTCCCAATTGTCAACATAAGTCGGGGACTGCCGGTACATTACATGGCTTTAAATGAGAACAAAATAAATTCAAACAAAACAAGTATCTATATTTATAAAACAATAAAAGTGAGTTAAAAATAAATATCAAGGATTATCAGCCTTCAAGACTCAGTGTTACCACTGGAGGAAGCAGCCTCCAAATATTTGGAATAATTCCATGTACAGGGAAGGGTATTCATAATTTCCCACTTGTGAATACTGTCTCCTAGAGGCTATAGATCAGCTGGGCTACAGATGATGTAAATATAATCAAGATATAAATCGGGCTGCTATGAGAAAAATGCTGAACTAAGATGGCCCTTGGATTGATCCCTCAAGGCTAAACTTGTTCTCCAGAAAGCCTTTAGATGAGCCCTTCCCCATTACAATGTCATGGAATTTTTAATGAGATAATCCAAGGTTTTGCCACCCACACAGCCAGACCTTAAGAATATGCACCTCTAATTAAGAAGAGGCATTATCACTTTTCCTTCACAGAAAACAGGATACTTTTTCTAACACTGTACATTGCATAAATGAATCCGCTAGACAAAAGAAGCATATCTCGTTCTTCCACTTCACTTTATTTGTGTGCAAACATAGGTAAACTTATCCAAATATGTGCAGAATGCATCAGCTACAATGGACCTCACACAATCTTTTCAGTTAGATTTCTTTCATCAGGTGAGAGTCCTGAAACATTTCTGTAAAGGTGTATCTGTAATAAATGTAAAGTTATTCAGACCTGAATCTCCAAATTTCTTTCTTGCAATGAGCACACAGCATGGGTTGTTGATTGAAAGTCTTCAAAAGAAAAAAAAACGTTCAAACTAAAAAAATAGTAAAAATGACAGCTCCTTTTCACAGCTTAGATTTTATTGTATCTTTTCTTTAAAATTTAAATTAATAAACTAAATAAACAACTTCTCCGGAGTTCCGGGACAGACAGAAGGGGTTATTTAAAGATACAGATATAGTTAGCAGATACAAGTTTTCAACAAATCTCACCTCAGTTCAACCAAGGCCTTATGCCTTTGTAACTCTCCCCCAAGAGGAAAGAAAAGCAGAGTCTAGGAAGAAGGGGAGCAAAAGACAATTTTAGGGAATTAAAACAAGCCAGGCAGAACAAAGGTACCATGAAGATAGCTTATTTTTTTCACGCAAATAGTCAGGTGCAGAAATTTTGATGAAAGGTTAATGAACTTCAGAGAGATACAAAATATATATAAACCTTCCTAATACTCTTCCCATATGAAGAATGCCAGAATATATTTAAGAGTTAAGTGTTTCAAAAATCTAAAAAGTTACTGTGCAAAGCAAGCTCCTTTTAGCCAAACTAAAGGCTCTGGATTGGCTTCGCCCAGACTTCAACCTGGTGCCTTCCAGCTATGTTGCTGACTTCCCATTCTGGGAATTAACAGCCCTAATATATCTAGAGGGCACCATGTTGGGGACTGCTCTTGCCTCATACATTTTAAGCAGTATTTTCAACTCAGAATATGCAGCAAACGTCTCCGAAGAAGCGGTTTAAAAAAAGGTCAAGATGGCGACCACAGCATCATGATCAAAGATCCACTCCTTTTTGTGTGTGTGTGGCTTTGCGTGGTCACAGACATCACCTTTTTTCACATACGCACACGCAGACACGCACCCTGATACGTGGGGTAGGGGGTTAGAGAGCCAAAAGTGGGGTGAGGAGATAAGTTAAATCTATGTACAGAGAATCCTTAGGCTGAATGTACAAGCAAGCGAAAAAAATTACACCAGTTTACAAGGGAAGAAACTTTTGCACTTGTGATAACTGCTCTACATGGTGAGGTTCCAGAGGGGAGAAAGCGGAAGGATGGGCATGGCTCACAAACACATACTGGGTTCGCGAAACTGCCCTGCATTCATCAAGGGCATAATAATAATGATAATAATTAACAGAAACAACAACAGTAACAACTACAACAACATGTCCCTGTTAAGACTCAGAGAAGTTTCTGAGTAAAATCAGGGCAGATGATAAGTTGAGAATTGTTTTGGAGCAAACTTCGCTTTGCTTCAGTGATCCTGAGGAAGGAAGCCCTGTACCCCTTTGCTCTTTAATTTGTTTTCTTGTCTTGGTGTTTCCCAATGATGTGGGATTTTTAAGTTAAAAAAAAAGACAGTACAACTTTGAAGGAAAGCCTCAGACTTTGAGCCTCAATGTTTAGACACCGTGCACCCAGGCTGCTTCCCCTTAGCATACTTACCGTGATTACTGAGTTTGCCCATTGTTCTGGACTTGTAGAATAAAACCATCAAGAGATCTGGCTTTGATCTAGTGGTGAAGGCACCAGACTAGAAACCAGGAGATTGTGAGTTCTAGTCCCATTTTAGGCACAAAAGCCGGCTGGGTGACTTTGGGCCAATCACTAGGAGATGGTGAGTTCTAGTCCCCCCTTAGGCATGAAAAACAGCTGAGTTACTTTGGGCCAATCACCAGGAGGCTGTGAGTTCTAATCCCACCTTAAGCATGAAAACTGGTTGGGTGACTTTGGGCCAGGCGCCCTCTCTCAGCCCAACCTACTTCACAGGTTTGTTGTTGTGGGAAAAATAGGAGGAGCAACAGAGTATTAGGTGTGTTTGTCACCTTGAATTATATTATAAAAATAATAGAGGGATTAAAGAAAACTCTAACTCCCCCCCCCAACTAAACCACAGAGAACTGAACCAAGGCTAACACTAATCAAGCTAAGCATGTTGTGTGAATGAAGCTGACAGTTCTTTATCTTATCTGGGGGGCAGGAACACTGGCATTGCAGTGCCAAGAAAGGAATATCCAGCCCCAGAGGTCAGGTCCTTGCTGCAGGCCTACGCATGCTATAGGCCAGTTCTAGCTTGTGATCCAAATTCACAGAGCCAAAGGGCCTCCTGTCACAAGAGAAAAAGAAAACAGGGAGAGCCAACAGAGAACAGCTTCTGGAATTCTTTCCAAGCAGTAGCCATAAGTGCCTAGTGTCTTGTGGGTACTAAAATAATGCAGTGTTTCTGCTCTTTGTTCCCATTGCACCCATTTGTGTCTGAGCAAACTGGAAAACACAGGGCAAGTCATATAAAACCCATTCTGGGTCACATGACCAAGAGGGGAGGAGCTCAGAATGGAGGATGTGGCAGCTATTTTGGGAGTCATGTGACCAAGAGGGAGAAGGCTCAAAATGGAGGATGTCAGAGCTCCATTTTGGGTGATGAAAGTTAGCCCAGAAGGAAATATTAAAAAGGGCAGAAAAATATATTTTTCCTCAAAAGGACTTTTTAAAACCAAATTTGGCCCCAAATCTATCTCTCTGCCCCAAGCAAGACTTTAGCCCTGTACAAATGCAGATGTAAAACCATCAGAAAGTTGAAGCCAGAGCAATCAAGAAGACAAAAGAGAAGATCTGCAATACCCAAACTCTAGGAGTCAGCCCCATCACCTGGGAAGCAGGATATGATAACAGAATTAAACCACAGATATTAAGGCCTAGACAAACACTCAGAAACAGTCTCAAGGTTCATGCCACAGGAACAGGAAACTATTCCAAACAAAAGGCTAGGGGGTGGGTATAAAACCTACTGCCCATGTGCTCAATCTCTCTCTGTGCTCTCTGCTCCTTCTTTCTTCTCTGCACTTTCCTGAAGAACCATCTTTCTGCAATAAACTGTAACCCTCTTCCCAAAGCAGTCGCCATGTTTGTTTATTTATTCCCGGTTTGGATGAACCAGGATGAAGACTTTACTTCTAACATGGGTCACATGACCAGGAGGGAGGGCGCTTACAAAAGATGACCTAATATTCCATTCTGGATCATGTGACCAAGAGGGTGGAGGCTAAAAGGAAGGACAGCTCCATTCTGAGTCACATGACCAGGAGGGAGGGAGCTTAGAATGGAGGACCTAACAGTCCGTTCTGGATCGTGTGGCCAAGAAGGAGGAGGATTAAAATGAAGGCAGCTCCATTCTGGGTCATGTGATCAGGAGGGAAGGATCTTAGAATTGAGGACATGGCAGCATCCTGCGCCCACGCCTGACTGTCTCTCTCTTAGGTGAAATTGGGGGGGAGGAGTTTCCCATAGTTCCTATAGCTCCCATCTAAGTGCAACCCATTTTCACACTCAATCATCTGGCTTGTCCCCCTATATCCAATATGGTCAGTATTTCCTGGCGGCCAAAGTCCCAAAAGAAGACTTTGGAAAGAGGCTGGGGAATTCTGGGAGTTGAAGTCCACCGCACCTTAAAGTTGCCAAGGTTGAGAAACACTGATCCAGAGGAATCTGCCTTCCCTTTATACCTTGTTTGTCAAAATATATTTTGGTATGAGGTGGAAAAAAAAGGAAATATAAGCTGGATCACACTGCCATCTAAACCAGTGGTTCTCAACCTTTGGGTCGGGACCCCATTTGGGGTTGAACGACCGTTTCACGGGGGCCGCCAAACAACGCAGTCTGCCATTTTCCCCCCCTTTTCCATAGCTGTGCTACTCCCTTTTATTCTGTTGGCTTTTGAAAGCCAATAGAATAGACTCTCTTGAATAGAGTCTAATTCTATTGGCTTTCAAAAGCCAATAGGAATCGTCCAGGCTGTCTCTGCCCTGCTGAGCCCGCCAAAAGTCCCATTCTGCAAACGGTGCTGCACCAGTTGAGTAGTTCTCGACTTACGACTGGTTGAGTAGTCCTCAACTTACGACCGGTTGGGGGTCGCGGCATTAAAAAGGTTGAGAACCATTGATCTAAACTGTAAGGTAGTTTCTTTGTGGCTTAGCCTGCTGCATGGGCAGAAAAGGCATGCCTTTCCTGCTGTGGCTCCTGCCCTCTGAAGCATCATCCACACCAAGGTGATGACAGCCCCATTCCTGCTAGTCTTTCAGAAAGCCCTGAAAATTTGGATTTTCAAAATGGGACTTGAGGATCCCATCGGGAGCCCATAGGATGGTTATATTGTGTTTAGCTAGATGTTCTCTCTTGCAATCCTACTTTCATTTGAATGCTTAAGGTTTTTTTTTAAACAGCTATGATATTAAGTGCTGGTTGTATGCCGCTCAGAGTCATGTTCAAGTGAAATGAGTGGCCCTATAAATGTATTAAGTAAATATTAAACTAAACTCAGCTGCTCAAATAGGCAGACAATGGTTTCATGCAGTGTGCCAACCTAGGCAGTTGTGGCTTCTTGGGAAATCATGATCCACTGAACCCTATCCTAGTCTGTCGGGCAAATCAGGGCACAGAAACACAGCAAACTTTTCATGATCAGCAGCCCTCGGCTTTTCTGCATGTTGTATTCCCACCAAAGCTCAGGTAAAAAGCAGGCATCACCCCATTAAGCCCCCCCCCCCAATTCTTTTAGGCAAAAGAAGACCAGGATAAGCAGCAGCTCCCCCGCTGGTGTTGAGGCAGAGGGACAGGGAATCACCCAGCCTTGTTCAGTAAAGTGAAGCCAATTTCCCCAAATCCCCCTAGCCAATCTCAGGACCTTATGCTGGGGACAACCAGGGCTTGTTCGTTTCAAAAGTCACAAAAGCAATGGCAGCATTTGAGAGTCAGGGTCTCTCTGGCCCACTCTTTCTCAACAACCAAAGTTGTGGTGCTGCTGGTGAAAAGACATAAACGTGGATGTTCCAGCATAGTCTTGCAGAAAACTGCTGGGCTTCTCACGACCTTCCTGGATGAAAGAGCGGTGAACAAAATGTGCTATGGGAGGAGCTGGGAAGCATCATGGAAGGTTGTTCGGAGGAACTGAGGAGGAGGGGAAAGGTGGATGGGGCATTAAGAAGACTGGAGACTGGGGGCAGGGGCAGGCCCTTTAGAGGACAGTCTTGTCTAAATCCACCTTGACCGGCAGTAGGCCTGCTTCCTTGTTCTCCTCCGCAGGACAGATGGCCACAGCAATGACGGGGCGTAAGGAATAGGGCACAGGTCCATCTAGGTCTTCCAGGTACTCTTTATCTCCATTGATGCTCAGGGGCTAGAAGGAAAGAGACAGGATGTTACAAAAAAAACCCGGCTGTGCTGTCGTTGAAAGTCAGCATATAGTTCTCCTTCTTGGACAGTTTTAGAAGAGGCTGGTCAGCCGCTTCTTGAGGATTCTTTAATTCGGGAGTGTCCAATCTTGGCAACTTTAAGACTGGTGGACTTCAATTCCCAGATTTCCCCATGGCTGGCTGAGGAATTCTGGGACTTGAAGTCCACTGGTCTTAAAGTTGCCAAGGTTGGACACTCCTGGTTTAATTGGTTTTCCAACACATTGCAGACAGTTGGACTAGATCAGGGGTCTCCAATCTTGGCATCTTTAAGATAGGTGGACTTCAATTCCCAGAATTCCCCATGGCTGGCTGAGGAATTCTGGGAGTTGAAGTCCACACGTCCTAAACTTGCCAAGATTGGAGACCCCTAGACTAGAGGACTCTCTTGCAGTACCTTCCAACTCCATACAGTCAGGCCTCACAACCATTCATTTAGCGACACTGAAAAAAATGATTTATGGTTAGTCCTTGCCCTTATGACCGTTGCAGCATCCACAGTTACACCTGGGCGCTTGGCAACCAGCATGTATTTACAATAGTTGCATCAGCATTCCAGTGCCATGTGATCACCATTTGCAGCCTTCCCAGCTGGCTCCCCACAAGAAAAGTCAATGGGGGAAGCCAGAGTCACTTAAGGATCCCACGATTCATTTAACAATTCCAGTAATTTGCTTAATAACCCTGGCCAAAAGATCACAAAATTGTGAGCGATTCACTTAACAATTGCCTTGCTTATAAACAGAAATTCTGATCCCAATTGTGGCTGTAAGTAGAGAACTACCTATAATTGTATGAAGGGGAGTGGCCACAGCAGTCTTCCCCAATATGTTACCTCACAGCTGCGTTCTGTCTATGCTTCCCAGAATTCCCTACCGTTCCTACCATGAGCCCTGGTGGCACAGTGGTTAGAATGCAGTATTGCAGGCTAATTCTGCCCACAGCCAGGGGTTTGATCCTAAATGGGTCAAGGTTGACTCACCCTTCCATCCTTCCGAGGTTGGAAAATGAGGACCCAGATTTTTGGGGGCAACAGGCTGACTCTGTAAACAGCTCAGAGAGGGCTGTAAAGCACTATGGGGCAATATATAAGCTCTATGGTTATTGTTATCCTCAAGTACCCTCTAAAACTTTTGGGAGCAATTCCAACATAAATAACTAACTAAATAACGGGATATCTCATTTTATTGTGCTTTGCTATATTGCGCTTCACAAATATTGCGTAGTTTTTTTTTTTACAAGATTGTCCACCAGCAAGAAGATTATGGCTCGCTGTAGGTTCAAATGATGAATAACATTTTTGGCACTGAAAGCAAGAGCATTTCCAGCAGTCCTCATTGCTGTTGTTAAATGAAGACTGTACAGGTTGCTAAACGAGGATCTCATATGATAGCAACTTTCAACTTCCTGCTGGCTTCCCCAATGACTCTGCTTGCAGGAAGTGGTCAAGGAAAGTCGGAAATCAGGATCGCGTGACTGTGACTTGCTGCAACAGCATAATCACAAGCCAGGTGCCTAGATCACAATCACATCACCACGAGGGTGCTGCAACAGCCAGAATGATGAGGACTAATCATAAGTACCATTCATTTAGAGCTGTCATAACTTTGAACAGTCGCTGAATGATGGGTCATAATCCAAGGACTATGTGTGTATTTGAGAGCAAAAGTGTTATATCAAAATACATTGATTAGTTATTAAAATTGATAATAAAAGGTATTTAATTTCTTCTGAATGCATCAAACACTTTAATTCCCAGATTAACCGGTTGCCAAAGAAAACAATAGTGACTCTTTGGGTACTTAAAGATTGATAAATGATTTTTGGAAAAAGTCAGGGGCCGAAGCAACCTCCCTACTCGTCTTCCTCATCTGCAGAACCCCAAGTTAGAGTTCATGTAATCCAAATTCCTCAAAAGTCCTGAAAAAAAGTCTTCTTCTACAGTGATGAACAACAAAGATGATCAGGGGACTGGAGGCTAAAGCGTATAAAGAATGGTTGCTGGAATTGGGTATGTCTAGTTTAATGAAGAGAAGGACGAGGGGGGACAGGATAGCAGTCTTCCAGTATCTCAGGGGCTGCCCTAAGAAGAGGGAGTCAAGCTATTCTCCAAAGCACCTGAAGGCAGGACAAGAAGCAATGGATGGAAACTAATCAAGGAGAGAAGCAACCTAGAACTAAGGAGAAACTTCCTGACAGTTAGAACAATTAACCAGTGGAACAACCTGCCTCCAGAAGCTGTGAATGCTCCAACACTGGAAGTTTTTAAGAAGAGACTGGACAGCCATTTGTCCGAAATGGTATAGGGTTTCCTGCCTGAGCAGGGGGTTGGACTAGATGACCTCCAAGGTCCCTTCCAACTTTATTATTGTTGTTGTTGTTATTGAGCTACAGAAAGGACCCACCTCTTATTCATTTCTCCCTACCTGAGTCTTGACGTGCTGATCCGGCGCAGTCACCAAACTGGCGCAACTCAGCCAGAGCATCACCATGATGGAAAGGAAGAGACAAGCAGCCAGAATCCAGCGGGGCAGCCCCGAACGCCTGTATCACCAGAAGCAGCCCCCCCCACCCGCCAAAAAGAGGCCACAAAATTACCATGGATGGATGGAGAAGGGGAATACATGTATCCTCATTTACATGTGTTGAGCCAGTTTTGCTGGTAATTAAAATGTCCTAGAAACCAGAAGTCAGTGAGTTATAGTCTCACCTTAGGCAAAAAAGGTGCCTGAGTGACTGGGCCAATAAACAGGAGAATGAAAGTTCTAGTCCCACCTTGGGCATGAAAGTCAGCTGGGTGACTTTGGGCCAATCACCAGGAGACTGGGAGTTCTAGTCCCACCTTGGGCATGAAAGCCAGCTGGGTGACTTTGGGCCAATCACCAGGAGACTGGGAGTTCTAGTCCCACCTTGGGCATGAAAGCCAGCTGGGTGACTTTGGGCCAATCACTCTCTCTCAGCCCAAACCTCCTCACAGGGTTGCCATTGTGGGGAAAATAGGAGGAGGATGGTATGCTAGGTATATTCACTGCCTTGAGTAAATACCTTATTTTCCGGCGTATAAGGCGACTCGGCGTATAAGACGACCCCCGACCTCAGCGCCGATTTCCATGCCTAGAAAGTCATCTTATACGCTGGAAACTACCATAATTTCTGGCGTATAAGACGACCCACCGTATAAGACGACCCCTGACTTCGGCGCTGATTTCAACGCTTTAGAAAGTCGTCTTATACGCCGGAAAATACAGGTAGCTAAAGTTAAAAAGGCCAATAAAAATGTAATACATCTATACATGGATGAAGATTTTTGCCTTATTTCTGAGTGCTGATTAACTGTTGATTTCTAACTGGTACTTCTGCCAATGTTTTATTCTTTATTTAACAGTTCACAGAGCTTTTGCTGTTCAATTAGGGATCTAATCTAACTAGGACTGTCTGAAAGGGCGGATCAGAAAAATGGAGATGGTGATGGCAACTGTGCAATCGAAGCTCCGTCTGTTTTTTAATCTACATTGATGCACATTAAAAAAAAAATACAGATGGAGCTTTGGTCATACTGTCAGAGGTATCAACCTGAGTTCCTGATTTTTTTAAAAGAAAATACATCTCAACAAGACTACAAAAGGTGAACTAAATTACAACTAATAAAGAAACCATGAAAATAGAGAGAACTAATAAATGAAAAAAATTAAAACAGAAAAAGAAAAAAAATACCCCCAAAGAAAGAAATTCCTGGGGTCAGTCATTCAGTATCGACCAGAGGTAGGCAATCTTGGCTCTTTTATGACTCGTGGACTTCAACTCCCAGAATTCCTGAGTCAGCATGGCTCCGCTTGGAAACCTCTCCCTTTCCCCTCAGCATGGCTGGCTCAGGAATTCTGGGAGTTGAAGTCCACGAGTCATAAAAGAGCCAAGGTTACCTACCCCTGACATAGACTAAGCTAGAAAACCAAAGGGCAGCTGGTCAATATTATTTTTTATTTGAAAAGCTATAATACAACCATCAACTTACATCCATTCATTTAGTGACCATTCAAAATTACAACGGCACTAAAAAGAAGTGACTTTTGACCGCTTTTCACACTTATGACCATAGCTGCATCCCTACGGTCATATGACAAAAAAAAAAATAGTCACTAAACGAATGCTTGTAAGTCAGAGGCTACCTGTATGAATTTAATGTAGAGGAAAGAAAACAAAGGGGGAGGGGAAGGAAGAGAAAGCAGCACTTTCCTCAAACCAAATGCAGATGTTTGGATTACCCTGCCCTCACGGTCAGCTTCGCCCACAGTTTGTTTTGCATCTGATCCAACCCAAGTACAATTTTCATTCCCCGACTTCCTCAGTTTCCCTGCCTTCCTAAACTCTAAACCACAAGATTAAAAAAAAACCAGAGCGGTATTACTTGGACATGCAACCCAGGAAATCGTGCTCCAGAGGCATCTGAGACTCCACCACGGGCTGGGCTGGGGCTGGGGCTGGACTCTTGGGCTCTTCGATCGGAGGCTTCTCCAATTTCTCCTGAAGGCCTGAAAAGAAAACGAATAAAACGTAAGAAATAAGAAAAATAAAAAGGAAACAAGAGAAGCAGGTTACAAAGAGCCGGGCACTTGGAAGTTATTTATTTATATTTAAAATTTATTGGCCACCCATCTTCCCATAGGGCAGTGATGGCGAACATTTTAGAGACTGAGTGCCCAAAAACTGGCCCCGCCCCCGCTCCATCCCCTGCCCCCGCTCCGCCCCCATCCTGTCTGCCCGCAGGGCCACTCACCGCTTCCAGGGCCTGCCGCAGATCACCCAGGCAGCCCAGCAGCGCCATGGCGGCCACGCTCTCTGCCCGTGCCCTGCAGCATCAATTGTGCATGATGGGGCGTGAGGGTAGATTCTTGTGTACGCGGGCTGGCTGCCATGTCCTTGGCTGCGCTGCTCCGTGTGGGCCACGCTCGGGGACGACTCTCCTTCAGGGGGGCTGCTGGTGAGGAGGGGGTTGCGGGGGGAGGCAAGGCTGGAGCAACGGCACGTGTGCCCACAGAGAGGGCTCTGAGTGCCTCCTCTGGCACCCGTGCCATAGGTTCGCCACCACTGCCATAGGGTAACTCTGGGTGGCTTACAGTTACATCTTATTTAAAACAAAAATGTTAAAAGTGAAACCTTAAAGCCAAAAACATGCGGGGAGGGCGGGAGCGCAGTGTGGGAGGGGGGAGGGGGGATCTGTTATTACTCAATCAACCACCTCCAGTGAGCTGATCCCCCACTGGGTCCCCAAGCCGACTGGCAGAGCCATGTCTTTAGGCCGTTATGATAGGATGGGAGGGTGCGGGCCAACCTCACATCGGGAGGGGCAAGATATTCTAGAGAGCAGGAGCCATAGCAGAGAAGGCCCTCCTCCTGGACCCTGAATGCTCCAACATTGGAAGTTTTTAAGAATAGACTGGACAGCTATTTGTCTTCAATGGTATACGGTTTTCTGCCTGAGCAGGGGGTTGGACTAGATGACCTCCAAAGTCCTTTCCAACTTTATTATTATTATTACTACAAGAACTGGCCAGCTGGAATACTCGGGCTGATGGGACCCTCTGTTGGCACATGTGGTACAGGCCAATCCCAGTGGGGGAAAACCTTCCCTCAAATAATCTGGATCCATGCCATGAAGGGCTTTAAAGGTGATCACCAACCCCTTGAATTGCACCTGGAAGCAGACTGGTAAGCAGTGCAGCTTACTGAGCATTGGTGTCACAAAGTTTTCCTTGAAGCGCCCAAGATTGTAAGAATGGGAAAAGTTATGCTGAATTGTCCCAGCAGGCTGTGAATAGAATAGAATAGAATAGAATAGAATAGAATAGAATAGAATAGAATAGAAAATATGGAATGGAACAGAACATAATAGAATAGTTGGAAAGGACCTTGGAGGTCATCTAGTCCAACCCCTGTTGAGCCAGGAAACCCTATACCATTTCAGATAAATGGTTGTCTAATCTCTTCTTAAAAACTTCCAGTGTTGGAGCACTCACAACTTCTGGAAGCAGGTTGTTCCACTGGTTAATTGTTCTCACTATCAGGAAGTTTCTCTGTAGTTCCAGGTTGCTTCTCTCCTTGATTAGTTCCCATCCGTTGCTTCTTGTCATGCCTTCAGGTGCTTTGGAGAATAGGTTGCACCCCTCTTCTTTGGGGCAGCCCCTGAGATATTGGAGCACTGCCATCATGTCCCCCGTCCTCCTTCTCTTCCTTAAACTAGACATTCCCAATTCCAGCAACCGTTCCTTATATGTTTTAGCCTCCAGTCCCCTAATCATCTTTGTTGCTCTTCTCTGTACTCTTTCTAGAGTCTCAACATCTTTTTTACATCGTGGTGACCAAAACTGGATGCAGTATTCCAAGTGTGGCCTTACCAAGGCATTGAAGAGTGGTATTAATACTTCACGTGATCTTGATTCTATCCCTCTGTTAATGCAGCCTAGCACTGTGTTTGGCCTTTTTGGCAGCTGCAGCACACTGCTGGCTCATATTTAAGTGATTGTCTACTAGGACTCCGAGGTCCCTCTCACAGTTACTACTATTGAGCATGGTGCCACCTATGCTGTACTTGTGCATTTGGTTTTTCTTGCCTAAATGTAGAACCTTACTTTTTTCACCACTGAATTTCATTTTGTTAGGTAGTGCCCAATGTTCAAGTCTGTCCAGATCTTTCTGTATCTTAAGTGTCTTCTGGAGTGTTGTCTATTCCTGCCAGCTTGGTGTCATCTGCAAATTTGATGAGTTCGCCATCTATCCCCTCGTCCAAATCATTGAATTTGCTGGCCAACCGAAGAAATTTAGGCAGCAACAGTCTTGGACAGGGCAGTATTTTCTGCTGTTCCTGCCCAACAGCCAAGATTTAATGGATGCTAGCCTGCATTCTAGTAGCGTTTCTTAACTGTGGCACCTGTAAAATAAGAGGACTTCAACTCCCAGAATTACTACAACTCCCAATTCGCCAGCATAGCTGGCTGGGGAATTCTGGGAGTTGAAGTGCACACATCTTAAAGATGCCAAAGTTGAGAAATATTGTTTTAGAGAGTCATTAACCATCAAGACTCATAGAAATCACTGACAACCCACTAATTTTGAAGTCTGCTTTTTAAAAAAGTTGAAAGTGGTATCCATCATTATCTTTGATGGAAAGTTTAAATCTGCCTTTGCCCAGCTCATATTCATCCCGATTCATCACATTACCTGTGTGTGGCTTCAAGGTGTTGGGGGCTGAGTCTGTCCAAGTCTTCTCCGAAACCTCTGACTTGGGTGCCTGGGCCTCAGGAATTGGATACTCAACTTCTGGTTGTGACTGTCAAAGAAAGGTAAAGAGGCTCTTAAACATTCAGGTGTCATAGTTCCGATAGATGAAACTGGTTAAAAGAACTTCAAGGAAAAACTTTCTTCCTTAGAGAACATTTTATTTGGAAACAAAGTATTGGCACATACATAGGTGAACCCAAAACTAAAAGTCCCCACCCCCTGGTTACAAAGTTACAATTGCAATTCCCACCCTAATTTGCTGTCATAAATCACATTCACCAATTGTTGTAAAATGTGGGCTCTCCTCCCAGCTCTCCAGTCCTCCCAAACGTTATCAGCACTGACCTTGGTTCACACACATATGAATTGTTTTGGCTAACTGAGAACTACACCCCCCTCCTTTCCTTCATCTAAATCTCTAACTAAAAAACATGGCAACGAAGACAAAATGAAAATGGCTTCAGTTTGGTTTGTCACAGCGTTGACATCAGGAAGGTTCTGAAGTTCTTCCAAATCTACTGTATCTTGTTTAAAGAGAGCTGACTTTCTGATGAGGGTGTCCCAGGCGAACGTATCACATAAACCACGTTCCAGACCCTGTGTTCCTACAGCTTTAAGGACCATGTCTTCTGGAGGCTTAAACCTGCAGTGGATAGCTGCCAAAGGAAGGGGTAGGCCAGGGGTGGGCAACCTTGGCTCTTTTATGACTTGTGGACTTCAACTCCCAGAATTCCTGAGCCAGCATGGCTCAGCTTGGAAACCTCTCCCTTTCCCCTCAGCGTGACTGGCTCAGGAATTCTGGGAGTTGAAGTCCACGAGTCATAAAAGAGCAAAAATTGCCTACCCCTGGGATAGGCTAAGTTTGGCATCCTGCAGGTTGCTGTCAAGAGTGACAGTTTGGCAGCTACTACATGTCTCTTTGTTTTCATCTTGCCATTGAGATTAAAGGGGGGCGGGAAATGAGGCTTTTCTCTGGGTTAGTTGGAGAAACGAAACCTCTCCAGTTCTTCTGAAGTTTGCTGAGAGAAGGCTGTCTGGAAACTTTTCAAGGACATTCTAGCAGGAGTGAAGAAGGGAACAGGCAGTTCTCATAACAAAGAGAATTTGTTCACATGAGCTACGTGGACATCTGGGGGGGGGGGAAGGTTGGGCTGGGAATGTCATTGTTAGGTTCTATGGTTAGATATCTTGGGATTTCAGAGTTAGTTTTCTTTCGCCTATATACCATGCCACGTATTCAATAAAACAGTATGTTTTTTAGCAATGAAAGTAATCCTGGACTTTATTTAGATCAGGGGCCTTCAAACTTGGCCCTTTTATGACTTGTGGACTTCAACTCCCAGAATTCCTCAGCTAGCGTGCCTGTCTGGGGAATTCTAGGAGTTGAAGTCCACAAGCAGGGGTCTTCAAACTTGGCCCTTTTATGACTTGTGGACCAACTCCCAGAATTCCTCAGCCAGCTTGCCTGAGGAAGTCCACAAGTCATAAAAGGGCCAAGTTTGAAGACCCCTGATTTAGATATTGGAGCTGGAGGTTGATAGTTGCACTCAAAAGGTGAGTAAGGTTAGGGTCCACTTTGTGATGAGGTTTCAAGGGGCAAAATGAGTAGACATATCCTTGACTTATAACCAGTGGCTTAGCAACCGTTCAAAGTTCCGATGGACCCTCCTGGAGTTATAATAATAATAATAGTAGTAGTTGTAGTAGTAGTAGTAGTAATAAAGTTGGAAGGGACCTTGGAGGTCATCTAGTCCAACCCCCTGCTCAGGCAGGAAACCCTATACCATTTCGGACAAATGGCTGTCCAGTCTCTTCTTAAAAACTTCCAGTGTTGGAGCATTCACCGCTTCTGGAGGCAGGTTGTTCCACTGGTTAATTGTTCTGTCAGGAAGCTTCTCCTTAGTTCAAGGTTGCTTCTCTCCTTGATTAGTTTCCACCCGTTATATATGATCTGGATTCAAAGTATGGACAGTCAGGCTACCCCACAATCACATGACTCCACTACAGGAACCTGACAGCATTTATGGCTGTTTGCAGTGTCCCACAGTCACAGGATCATGTTTTATGATGGTTTTGCCAGAAACTGGCATTTACTTTCAGTTTTCAATAAAACCACATCTATTTCCTGTTTGAGCAGGGGGCTGAACTAGAAGACCTCCAAGATCCCTTCCAGCTCTATTCTATTCTATTCTATTCTATTCTATTCTATTCTATTCTATTCTATTCTATTCTATTCTATTCTATTCTTTCATTCCAATTCCTATCCTATCCTATCCTATCCTATCCTATCCTATCCTATCCTATCCTATCCTATAGCAAACCATTGGTCTGCTTAATGATCATCACAAAAAAGATCACAAAATTGGGTTGGTCACATGACCAACCCATTCTATGCTCATCACAAGTGATGACCAAGATAGCAGGCTCCATTATGGTCCTAACTTGAGGCCTACCCATACCTTCACCATCTGCAAGTCTAAAAGTGCTCATTCTGCCTCAAAATCTCACAGCTCCACCCCCACAGGAGAAAAGTGGACTGCAGTTTTTCCTGCCTTCACTCTTTTGGCCATGAAAGGACGGTCTACGAGTCACAAGAAGCGGCGCTCCGTTCAAATGGTCCAACGCACCGCAACCATCTTGCTGCCGCTAACTTGCCGCGAGACAATTTGCCACAGGACAATAACTCAGTGCGATAAATATTATCCACCACTGTTATCCGCCATTTCCATATTTATGTCCCATTTTTTTATGGAAATGTCCACAGCGAGTTATCCTAGAACCCAGCTAAAAGAAGACTTTTAAATTAATGGATTACTTTGGTTTTAATCTGCTTTGGTCACAGCAGGTGGCAGCACCTAACCAATGTTAAGGACTACACTGGGCTGGACCTGATTTGTATTAGATAAGAGACCACTAGGAAATCCCAGGACTCTAGGCTAGACTGGAAAGTTGAAAAAAAGCCCTTATAATTCTACAGAAAGCCAGGGTGATGGAGTGGTTAAGGCATTGTACTAAGTCCACCCAGAGCCATAGAAACTCTTTGGCTAACTTGAGGTCACTAGCCTTCAGCCCAACCTACTTTACAGGGATGTTGTTGTGGAAGAAACTGGAAGGGGAAGGAAGGAAGGAAGGAAGGAAGGAAGGAAGGAAGGAAGGAAGGAAGGAAGGAAGGAAGGAAGGAAGGAGCCTCCACAAAGTCATGTAGCTTGCATTTTTACATAAATCTGGTTCTATTAGATGAGTTGTAAGTGCTGTGAATTAAAATTTTAATTAGGGGGAAATCACTTGCCAGAGATCTGAACAGGCTAGGTCCAATAATGTGTCAATGCCTGCACCTGTGCAGCAAATTCAGTTTGGTTGATGTTAATCTTGAGTTAGGTTATTTTTGTTTTCCTAGCTTAACATATTGCAGAAATCAAGATCATTCAGTTAATTAGCTGAGGGTTCAATGTTCTGTGCTAAATAACGTGAGTTAAATCAGTAACTAAATATACTGAGTAATGCAAATGCAGAAGAGCATTCTAATCAATTAAAAAGAGACCCCTCCCATTAATTCCTCTCTGATCTAGGTTTCTCATATATGGTAGTATTCCTTTCCTAAATCTTCCCCACCCCACTTTTGCCATTACTTACCTGAAACACAACTACTTTTCCATCATCTGCCTGCAGATAGAAGGTCCACGTGGAAGAAATAAAACTCTGAGCAGAGCTGACAATATCATTCCAAAAACTGGAGACGAGGTCAAAGACGGAGAACGAAGCCGGTTTCTCATCTTGGATCTATTAAATTACAAAATGAAATTAGCGCTCTTCAACTGATTCCTTCCTTCGCTCTCTGGCCAATGAAATTGAAAAGAGCCACTTAAACGGTTGGCTTTGGTGAAAATAAATAAGATCCAGGCAGTGGTGGGATAGTAGTAGTAGTAGTAGTAGTAGTAGTAGTAGTAGTAGTAGTAGTAGTAATAATAATAATAATAATAATAATAATAATAATACATTAAAAAATAGCTGGGAAAGCAGATAATAACAAGACCTGGCAATGTCTGAGAGCAGGAAAATTGAAGAAAGAGACCGAGGGACTAATTCTGGCTGCACAAGACCAAGCCTTAAGGACAAATGCATATAAAGTCAAAATTGAGAAGACAGCAACAGACAGTAAGTGCCGCCTATGCAAAGAAGCTGAAGAAACAGTGGACCACCTGGTAAGCTGCTGCAAGAAGATTGCACAGACTGACTACAAGCAGTGGCATGACAAAGTAGCAACAATGGTGCATTGGAAGATCTGCAAAAAATATCATTTGCCTGTAAGCAAAAACTGGTGGGATCATAAAATAGAGAACGTCATAGAAAATGATAAAATTAAACTGCTCTGGGACTTCAGAATTCAAACAGACAAGCACCTGCAACATAACCCCCAGACTTAACAATTGTCGATAAGAAAGACAAAAAAGTCTGGATAGTGGACGTGGCAGTGCCTGGAGACAGCAGAATAGACGAGAAAGAACTGGAGACGATAACAAAATACAAAAACCTACAAATAGAAATAGAAAGACTGTGGCAAAAGCAAGCAAGGGTAGTACCAATAGTAATAGGCTCCTTGGGTGCAATCCCAAAACAACTGGAACACCACTTGAACACAATTGGCATTGACAAATTCGCTATTAGTCAATTGCAAAAGGCGGCCTTACTAGGAACTGCTTCCATCCTGCGACGATACCTGTAATACCATCAAACAACCACATCTGCCTATCCCAGGTCCTTGGTAAGGACTCGACAGATAGACAAAATGCCAAATCCAGTCTGAACATCTAGCTGACTATGCGATGATCCATAATAATAATAATAAAGTTGGAAGGTACCTTGGAGGTCATGTAGTCCAACCCCCTGCTTAGGCAGGAAACACTATACCATTTCAGACAAATGGCTGTCCAGTTTCTTCTTTAAAACTTCCAGTATTGGAGCATTCACTGCTTCTGGAGGCAGGTTGTTCCACTGGTTAATTGTTTTAACTGTCAGGAAGTTTCTCCTTAGTTCTAGGTTGCTTCTCTCCTTGATTAGTTTCCATCCGTTGTTTCTTGTCCTGTCTTCAGGTGCTTTGGAGAATAGCTTGACTCCCTCTTCTTTGGGGCAGCCCCTGAGATATTGGAACACTGCTATCATGTCCCCCCTCGTCCTTCTCTTCATTAAACTAGACATACCCAATTCCAGCAACCGTTCTTTATATTCAGCCAGTTCGCACCACTTCCGCAGAACCGGCAGCTAATTTTTTGTTGCCCAGGCCCAGAATGGACTTCTGGAAGCGACATCCACACACAGAACCAGTTGTTCATTTGAATCCTACCACTGGTTAGATCTAATATGGCCCATCCAAGTAGCTGTATTACAAGAAGAGATATCCCTTTTCAATAGATCCATTTCTCTTACCAGTTTTGGAGGGAAAAAAATGAAGAGAAAATAGCTAATTGCAACATTGAAGTGCAATATTAGGGGTAGCGCAATGGTGAATAGAATGTGAAGGATGTGTGTATATAATGTAGGTTCTTATTTGTGGTTTTTACTTGTGTGTAATGTGCACTATGGACAGCACTTACTTTTATTGTGAGTTACCCAATGACATTCTATTCTATTCTATTCTATTCTATTCTATTCTATTCTATTCTATTCTATTCTATTCATGAGGAATGTCATTTAAAAGCTAACTGGCAAAGTCTGACAGTAGCAAGCACACCTCTGAACAGATGCTTGGCGACAGAAGGCAAGCTGAGATGTCATGAAGCCATGCCAGAACAGGTAGTCCTCAACTTACAACCAGAATTTCCATTGCTAATCAAGGTGGTTGGTGAGTTATGGCCAATTTTACAACCATTTTTTCCAATTGTTAAGTAAATCACTGCAGTTATTAACTGAATCAGGTGGTCATTAAGTGAATCCAATTTCCCTCACTGACTTTGTTCATAGGAAACCACTGGGAAGGTTGCAAATGGCGATCACATGACCCTGAGACCTTGTAAATGCATGCTGGTTGCCAAGTGCCCCGATTTATTTCATGTGATTGGACCAGTTGTTACTCACTTTTTCAGGGCCATTGTAATTTTGAACAGCTTCACAAATAGTTGTAAGTCGAGGACTTTCTGTACTTTTTGGGTGCACAGCTCAGGGGATAGCAGACAGTTCCCGGAGAAAGTGTGCAGAAACCCTGTATTCTCAATATGGTGTTTTCTGACCCAGATAATGTTATTGTGTGTTGCCAGAACCACTGATCAGAGACTTAACCAGGATAATAGCACAATGTGTTTAAGAGAATTGTGTTAAAGCTGTCTATGTCTAATCCTAAAAAGGCAAGGACAAGCCCAGAAATCATGGCTAAATCAAGCCCTATCATCCTTCCCCACTGATTCTGAACCATTATCCTTCCTTCCTTCCTTCCTTCCTTCCTTCCTTCCTTCCTTCCTTCCTTCCTTCCTTCCTTCTCTTTCTCTCTCTCTCTTTCTTTTTCTTTCGTTCTCTCTCTCTCTCTCTCTCTCTCTCTCTCTCTTTTTCTCCCTCCCTCCCTCCCTCTCCTACCATATATTTTGATAGATGTAGTACAGGACTGAATATCTTTGTTTTGAACACAATTTTCCACCACTTCATCCTCTCCCCACTACATCAACCTTGGAGAATTTGGCCTGCCTGCCTGCCTGCCTGCCTGCAATTTTGCCAATACCACACAGCTAGAAAGAAGGCCAGGTAAAACAACAACAACAACAACAACAAAACAACAGGTAGTTCAGAGTCTCTGAACTGACAAGCCCTACATTTCATCCGCAAGAGTGCTACGCCGTGAGGGTGGCCTGCTTTGCGGTAGACCACCTCAGTCTTTAAGTAATTCTTCCCTCGCCTGATTTTCTTGTCCCAGAGGGAAAGGCCAATTATAAACAACAATCATATTTTAAAAGAAAGAAGCGGCTTTAGAAAGTCACTCCCCCCCCCCCCTTCAGACATTTATCCTTCAACAGAATTCTGCACCTGGGAAGCAAATGCTGTCTTCCCTACAACATTGTTTTTTTTCACAAGACTGTGCTGCAAAAAAAACCCAGCTCCATTATGTCAAGATTTCCCCATTTTTTTCTGCTGGGAAGGCCTGCTGCTAGAATAGTTATTTGTCCTTCTACAGAGCAAGATTCTCTTAGTGTAATCTCACAATAAAGTTTGAGTTAGTACTCGTGGCTGGTGCTTCTTGTCAGGACTACCTCGAAGGGCTGACGTCAACCTTGCAAATCTGCAAGTAGATCTCTCCCCGCTCCCTTTTACAGTCCAAGAATTAGGGAAGGTCCCTTTTGAGATGATTTCCAGATTCCTCCTCCCCTTCTGGAGATTAAACTGCTCTTATCTGACCTTTATTCAATCTGCAGCTACTCCTACTGCCACAGGTCTCTCAAGGACATTCTCACAGACCATTACAACAAATGATTAGAGGAGTGTCTTATCTTATCTTATCTTATCTTATCTTATCTTATCTTATCTTATCTTATCTTACCTAATGGAATGAATTACGGATTGCATAGCATATTATATAAAACACAACCAAGGCCCAAACTAGGCTAACAGAAGTCATGTTTTGAATATTTATGTGCTTTAAGGTTCTCCTCCCCTTTGTCCTTCCCTGACAGTTTTTGGTGGCAATTATAATCAGAGAGATTCTAGCATTTCCATCACAGCAACAGGTGCAAAATGAGTCACAGGCAGGCCGAATTCTCCTAATCCCAGTTAGTTATTTCTTCTTTTCCTGCCTGCAAGACATTTAGCTTCTGCTTGTGGGATTCCTGGAGGCCACAGCAAGAAAAAACAAAAAAGCTAGGCCAGGGCCTGTGGCTTTCCAGCAGGCCTTTCCAGACATTCTTCAACACCAGACGTAAAAGCCAGATTCTGAGGCAGGCAGGCAGGCGGACAGATCGTAGCTCTCCAATTCTGTCCCCCCACGTGCCTTTTGGGATCAGCTTAATAAAAACGGCTGTTTCCTACCCAACCCAGCAAACAGCGATAACAAATTCTGAAACCAGTCCTGACAGCTGCCGGCTTAGCAATGTGTATCCACCAGGCTGAATAATTACAGTGTAAACAGAAAGGTCTGCAGGGCCTACATCCAGATAACAAAACAGCCTTTTTTTATTTTACTTGGTCTGACTTAGACTATAATGAAGCTTTTCATCCACTCAGTCACTGCTTTGGCAGACTACAATAAAAACAATAAAAAAAACCCAACAATAAATTAATAAGCCATACTGGAAAGTCCACATCCAGGGAGTATAATGTCAGTAAATGAAGGAGCAGAAATATTGTTGCCAAAAAAAGATATTAATGCAGTCACCAGGTGGCCTAGCTTAGGGAAAGCATTGTTATAAGTGAGGCCCCATACGGATGGCCTTCTCCAGAGCATCTGGGTGGGTTCAAAACCTGCATGACAATAATAATGGCATTGTGACTGAAGCCCCACTTCTGTGGTACACACATGCAATACTCCATTCATGTTCAAAAGGGTTGGGGCCTCTATTCTGCATGTGGAAGGCACCCAGTTCATTACCTACATTTATTTATTTTGGGTTTTAGATTTTTTTTTCCTCTGTATTTTTATAAATAGCTCAATAGCAATAAGAATTTAATCTTATATACCGCTTCATGGTGCTTTACAGCACTGAGCGGTTTACAGAGTCAACCTGTTGCCCCAATCTGGGTCCTCATTTTACTGACCTTGGAAGGATGGAAGGCTGAGTCAATCTTGAGCTGGTGAGAATCGAACTGCCAAACTGCTGGCAGCCGGGAGTCAGCAGATGTAGCCTGCATTCTAACCCCTCAGTCACCATGGCTCAAAGTAGTAAACATATCTAATATTCCTGTCTCCTCCCATTTTCCCCACAACAACCCTGTGAGGTGATTTAGACTGAGAGAAAGAAACTGCCCAAAATTGCTCAGCTGGCTTTCATGCAGAACTAGAACTCACAGTCTCCCTCCTTCTGGTATCTTTTTTTTTTTTTTTTGTATGTGAAATATAGTATTTCTGAAAAATGTAGTTAACCAAAATATCTAAGAGAAATTCCTCCTTTTCCAAAAAGCCTGAAATGTCCATTCTTAAACAGTACCATAGAATATATTGTGAAATAGGAAAAGGAGCATATTTTTTAGTGTTTGGAGTAATCCTAAATTTAAAACATGTAAATTTAATGTATTTGGTTTCCTCCCCATAACTGATAGGTATCCTGGTCATTCGGAAAGTATTTCTCTCCAGTGGCTGCTTAAGGACGAGCAGGCAGTGATCACAGTGTAGGTGGCTAGATTCTGCCCAGCAGCACTGGGGATTCGCCAGAAACATAAATAAACATTTTAGATCTTTTTAATAATCTTTTATAATTAATTTTATTACATGTTTTTATCCAGCAATGTATTTCTATTGTCAGGTCAATATGATTCAGTTTTTCTGAAGCTAGCTAGTTTTTGTTATACTGTCTGTAAAACTAGGCAGACCTTGGTCACCCACTGATTACATCATTAATTGTAATTATATTCCTATGTCTTCTTGTGTTGGTTCTGTTTAATTTTGTTTTATTTGAATGTTTATGTGTTGGCCTTTGGCTGTAATAATAAACTGATTGATTGATTGATTGATTGATTGAATGTATCTGATAGTCTGCTTTAACATTTAACTCAGTTAGCTATTAATCCTGATTTCTTTATAGGTAATTTACACTATCCGGGACAAAAATAACCATTTGGGAAATAGATCCTGCTGGTGTTTCCAAGATATGCCTGCTATCCCATAAGCTTTTGCATCAGATTACGAGCAAAGCTTCCTTAGGTCACTAGTCCTTCCCATTGGCCACCCAACCAACCAGTGGGAGACCTGGCTTGCCCACTACAGCCAATCAGCACTTGGGAGGTGTCTTCTGTCCTAGAGAGGTTTTCTTGGGGCCACTCTTTCTCTCCAGCTTGTTTTCTCAGGGACTATAGATTTGAAAAGGGTGGATTTGTCATCTTATGCCACCAGTGACTATACAAACCTTGAACCCCATCAATGGTTGCGTCTATATTGAATTAAATTCAACCCTCCAGGGACTGCTTGACAGGGTCAATTGGTATTTCTGTAACTCATGAACTCCGTACTGCAGTGATGGCGAACCTTTTAGAGACCGAGTGCCCAAACTGCAACTCAAAACCCACTTATGCATCGTCGAGTGCCGGGTGGGTGTGGCCCATTGGTTGGGTGTGGCGCATTGGGTGGGTGTGGCTGCGGTGGTAACGGCAGACTGGGTGGGACTAAAAAGTTGAATCAATCAATTCCAACTTTGCAAGATCTTTTTTTTCCCCAGGAGAAGTTGAAATTGACTGATTGAACCTTTTTTTTTTTTTTTTTGCACACGGTGGCGGAGACCTAAAGCAAAAAGGTTTTATAAAACCCAGCTGAAGGCCTAGGACTGGGGCGACGGTGTGCGTGCCCAAAGAGAGGGCTCTGAGTGCCGCCTCTGGCACCCGTGCCATAGGTTCGCCACCACTGCCCTACTGACTCAGTTACGATGCTGCAGGAATAGGACCAATGTACAGAGAGAAGCCATAAAATTGAACAAGGTGTAAGTGTTAACCCTGCAAGGTAGTCCAAAAGAGAAGCACACCCAGGAGTTCTAGCTCTTTCTTTCTAGCTCTTCTTCTAAGGTTGCATTAACAGAATGTTGTAACTCTGAAAGTATTCTCTCCTTTCTTTTTAGTCTTAAAAAAACTAAGGAGGGTCTTCTTTTCTGAAACACTTCCATTCCCCCCCTTCCTTCTGTGGGCTGACATAACAATTATATATCGCTACATAGTGCTTTACAGAGGTTTACAGAGACAGCCTATTGCCCCCAACAATCTGGGGTCCTCATTTTACCGAGCTCGAAAGAATGGAAGGCTGAGTCAACCTTTAGCTGGCCAGGATCGAACTCCTGGCTGTGGGCAAAGTTAGCCTGCAAATTCTGCATTCTAACCACTGCGCCACCACGGAGATACCTTTTACATGCTGCTTGTCTAATTTGCAGTTCTTCCTTCTGTCTCCCGAGGTCATTTCCACTCATCATTACAATTGGAAATCTAAATCACATATGATGCTGATGTCCCTGATACTGATACATGTTCCTCTTCCTCTTTGCATAAATGTTTATAAATTATCCACAAACAGTCCTCACTTAATAACCAAGACTTGGCAACTCACTTGCCTTTATGGCTGCTTGCAACATCCTGTGGTCATGTGATCATAATTTTTGACATATTTTGCTGGTTTCCAGTATTTACTTCTGGTTTCCAGCAAAAAAAAAAAAAAAACTTATTGGGGGGAAAACGGGTTTGCTTAGTGCAGCGGTTCTCAACCTGTGGGTCGGGACCCCATTTGGGGTCGAATGACCATTTCACGGGGGTCGCCAAACAACGCAGTCCGCCATTTTTTTCCCCCTTTTCCTTAGCTGTGCTACTCCCTTTTATTCTATTGGCTTTTGAAAGCAATAGAATAGACTCTCTTGAATAGAGTCTAATTCTATTGGCTTTCAAAAGCCAATAGGAATTGTCCAGGCTGTCTCTGCCCTGCTGAGCCTGCCAAAAGTCCCATTCTGCAAACGGTGCTGTAAGTTGTCTGCAGCGAAGGCGAGCTGTCTGGAAGTTTCCACTCCTCCCTGCTGAGCAACTACTAAAAATGTAAGTAAAAGAGGGCCAGGGGTGGGAGGTGGGAGGCTGGCGGGTGCAGGGAGGATTGCTGGCGCGCGTGGGGCCCAGCGGGTGCCTTACCTCCCTTGGGCTGGGCCAGCTGGTGGCCCAGCCGGTGGTCGGCCTGCTCCGTCTCTGCTGCTTGCCAGCTACACCTCGGCCGGCGCAGGGGGCGGCACCACACATGTGCGGCGCTCCCGGGCAGGGAAAGTCCTCGACTTACGACTGGTTGGGTAGTCCTCGACTTACGATCGGTTGGGTAGTCCTCGACTTACGACCGGTTGGGGGTTGCGGCATTAAAAAGGTTGAGAACCACTGGCTTAGTGACTGTGGCATTCACTTAATGATCACCACAAAAAGATTGTAAAATTGGGCAGAGTCTCATAGTGACCCATGTAATGACCACCATGATTTATGACTATAATTCTAGGCTTGATTACAGTCTTAAGTCGAGGACTACCTGTATCTTCAGGTCCTAATTTAGACTGGTCTTCATCTAATTTAATTCATGGTTTTAGTGCAACTTTGTCATTACCAAATTATTTTCAGGCCTCATTCCTACAACAAACATTCCAGTTAGCACTCATCTAGTCTTAGAACTTCCTGGTCATTTTGGGAGCACACAATGGCATTAACTGGGACATCAATCACTATTTTGGGAATACTGAATCATCCTCTTTTTCTAGGAAATGTCTAGTTTCCATGAAACTTTGCAGAAGCCAGGAATCCCGTGTTAGTGCTTTCAAAAGACATTCTGTGGCAGGGGTCCCCAACTCCCAGTCTGTGGACGGGTACCAGTCCAGGGCCTGTTAGGAACTGGTCCGCACAAGTGGCAGGCGAGCATATGAGGCTTCATTTGTGCATGAGCGGGATCTAGGTTGCACGTGCAAAGCTATCTCTTCCCTCCCCCACACACCATCATAAGCCACCACCGGTCCGTGGAGCCAGAAAAGTTAGGGACCACTGTTCTATGGGGTCACACTGTGGCGGCAAAGATTGAAGAATTTGCTTTTCCATATATTTATCCTCTCCAACTATTTTTACTGGATCAGAAAAGAGGCTTTGTACAGTGAACCCCTATTTCTCTTCTATATCAGTTAAACGTGTTATGGTGTGATGGCCACCAAGAGATGAAGCTTTGACAAGAACATCCCTGCTCATGTGCAGAATCAGCAACAAGACCCCACCTAACTCTCCCCCCAAATCTCAGTCTGAAAGAGGAACTTTTAAGCTAGTTAGTTGTCATTAGATGAGGACATACTGTATTAATAATAATCTCTCTCTCTCTCTCTGATCATCATTTTGGCATAAAAGTCAGAATTACCATGTTTTCTCCTCTGTTCTCCATTTCCGGCAGCTGTGTCTTGCATCCAGTCGTACAGCCAAACTGCTCCTCTGCACCAATGTAGGCTTCCATGCAGGCTACAGTATCCAAAAGAGAAGAAAAAAAGGAAGAATTCAGCACAAATGGCCACAATTCAGGGTTTGGAAATCAATTCCATTTCCACCTGAAATTTTAAATCTAGTTCAATTATGCCAACCAAATGCAAAATTGTGGCTCTGGCACCAGGCATACCTGCTTTCTTCAGCACTAATGCACTACAGTGTGTTTCTCTGTGTCATATAATATATGTGGGTATATGTATAATTCTGTATTTATTTATTTGTTTGTTTATTTTTGTCATATTTATGTAGTGTATATCAGAGGTGGTGACCCTTTGAGAGCTGTATGCAATGAAATTTCATTTTAATGTATGCCAATTAGTATACATCCAAACTGATAATAAAGTTATTATTCTATTCTATTCTATTCTATTCTATTCTATTCTATTCTATTCTATTCTATTCTATTCTATTCTATTCTATTCTATTCTACCCTATTCTATTTTCTATACTATTCTATTCTATATTTCAGTTCCTGCAAATCCTTATTTCTTCATCCTGAAATATATTTTACTTATTCATGGAATTATTTGCGAGATTTATATCCTGCTTTTACTCCAGGAGCTTAACGTAGCTTGCATGGGGATCTTTGTTCATTTTCTTCCCCCAATAGCACTATAAAAATATAGGTAGTCCTCAAATTATGACCCTAATTTAGTCGAGCAATTATGGTCGAGAATTGTGATGATCATAAAGCAGGTCACCGTATGACTGGACCCGATGTTACCACATTTTTCACAGCAGTCATTAAGCAAACACAGTGGTTGGTAAGCAAACCCATTGTTTGCTATGGGGCGGTTTTTTTGCCAGAAACTGAAAGTAAACGCCCATTTCCATCATAAATCACAATCACCTAACTGTGAGGTATTGCAAGCAGCCATAAATGTGAGCTGGTTGCCAAGTGCCCAAAATGTGGAGGGAGGAACAATGTCAGGACTCCAAAACTAGTTCATCAGTAGCTTTTTTGGGTGGGGGGGTCTGTCATAAGTGACATGTCGTGAGGACTACCTGTAAATCAGGCTGAAACCTTCCAGGGACCTCATGTGACTGAGTGGGGCCTTGAACCTGGTCCTCCCTTCTCCTAGTCCAGGGGTAGGCAACCTTGGCTCTTTTATGACTTATGGACTTCAACTCCCAGAATTCCTGAGCCAGCATGGCTCAGCTTGGAAAGCTCTCCCTTTTCCCTCAGTATGGCTGGCTCAGGAATTCTGGGAGTTGAAGTCCACGAGTCATAAAAGAGCCAAGGTTGCCTACCCCATCCTAGAAAGAGATCTCCAAATTTGGCCATTTTAAGACTTTGTGGACTTCAACTCCCAGAATTCCTCAGCCAGGAATCCATAAGTCTTAAAGTTGCCAGGTTTGGAGACCCCCGTCTTAGACCAGCATCTTTACCACACTGTTTCTCTAGCAACATTTATGGAACTCTCTGTTACAAGATGAGATAAGTTCCCTTAGCTTTGATGACATTAAAAGGGAATTCAGCAAGTTCATGGGATGTATGTTTATATCAAATAATTGTTTGGGATGGTGAATGGACCCTCCATGTTTAGAGGCAGCAGACTACATTTGGAAAGAAGGCTATAGAGACAAGTAAAAACTTGGCTAGGTGCCCAGGCCTGGGGCTCAGAATGTGTGAAGGGCTCCATTAAAGGTAGTCCTCAACTTACAGCAATTTGTTTAGTGACTGAAGTTACAACAGCACTGAAAAAAGTGAATTATGACTGTTTTCACATGACCGTTGCAACATACTTATGGTCATGTGATCAAAATTCAGATGTTTGACAACTAGCATGTATTTATGATGGTTGCAGTGACCCAGGGTCATGTGATCACTTTTGGCGATCTTCTGACAAGCAAAGTCAATGGGGAAGTCATTTAAGAATCATGTTACTAATTTAACAGCTGCAGTGATTCACTTAACAACTGTGCCAAGAAAAGTTGTAAAATGGGACAGAGCTCATTTAACAACTATCTTGCTTAGCAACAGAAACGTTAGGCTCAATTGTGGTTGTAAGTCAAGGCTTTACTATTATTTGATTAATCATCACAGCTCCTGTTTATATTTATACTTGTTTCTTTTATGGATCTTGTTATTGCTTTAATGTATTTTAAGTTGTTTTAATTGTTTTTTTAAAAAAATGTTAGAATTGTAAAACCAGCCAAAATCATTTGGTTGAGTTGGGCAGCTATAGAAATTGAATGGATAGATGGATGGACGGACGGACAGACAGACACACAGACAGACAGACACACACATAGAAAGAGAGGGGGGGGGAGGGAGGGAGGGATAGTAATTTTCTTTAAGAAAGTCCAGTTGCCTCGTGAAAAAGCATCTTTGAGATTCCTTTAAGTTCTGCTTCCCAGAGACACAGGTTTGGCCCAGACAAGTTGACAGACCTTCCATCCGATAGTGAGGGATGATTTCCTAGCTTCTTTAATAAATACATCAGCACCTCTTGACAGCTTAGATGGTGCTCAGTTTTCAAAGGCAGTTTCATCCGAATAAGCAGCTGCTGAAAATCCAGAAGAATGTGGCTGTTGGGAACAAGTTGCTGGGCAGATGGGCAGATGGTTCCTCTTGGGAATGTCGGAACTGGAGGTCCAACCAGCCTCAATTCCAGATGGGATGGGATTTGTTTCATTTTAAAGCCTGGGCATCCCGCTTTTCAACCGGGCCCCGAAAAGTTATCAAAACCATTCGTGTAGGTAAATCCAGTCTTTTGAAATCTCTGTTTTGACAGATTTAGACTAGGAGAGGAAGGCCTTTCCGTTCCCACCTGCACTTTCCATTATCCTAGACTGTTGGTGGGAATTTGTTACAGAAGCTCCGAAAGAAGGAAGAGAGATGACCCTCTTAAGTGGGGAGAAGGTTCTGGATAATGTAAAAGTGGGGAGGGGGAGGGGGGGTGTATGGATTAAAGAGGGAGACGGGGAGAAAGAAAACCAGGAGGAGGAGGAGGGACACAGAGTTACTGCCTTACCCGATTCGCACTCGGCTCTGGTTGCATTCAGCTCAGCAGTGGCATCCACAAAATGACAGATGGAAAACAGCCGGCAGCCCCGGTAACAGGCGTTGAGAATAGCATCCTGGGGGAGGCAAAGGAAATTGCAGGGCGGGAGGGAGAATTGAGATGCTACAACTGCAATTGTATGTCTCCAAACCTAACACAAAACAGGGTCCACAAAACACAGTCCATTTTTTTTTTGACAACAATGCACAGAATCATAGAACCAGGAAGTGTTTTGGGGGTCATTTAGATTAACCTCTCTGCTCAGGGCAGAATTTGCATAGCAGGTTGTGACTGCAGAGTTCTTAATGGGGGGGGGGGTCCAACAGTGAAGGAGACCCTGTCCCTTTCAGAGGTAGCTCTTCCATTGCCAAACCTAATGGCTAAGGCATTACTCCTAAAGTTTTCCCTGAAATCTCCATCTTCAGTTCTGATCCTGCTTTAAATTGGTATTTCTCAACCTTGACCATTTAAAGACGTGTGGACTTCAACACCCAGAATTCTCCAGAATGCTGGCTGCAGAATTCTGGAAGTTGAAGTCTCCATGCCTTAAAGTCACTAAGGCTGAGAAACTCTGCTTTAAATTTTTGAAGAAAGCTATAGTATAGAACAGTGTTTCTCAACCTTGACAATTTTAAGGCATGTGGACTTCAACTCCCAGAATTCCACAGTCAGCATTGCTGGCTGTGGAATTTTGGGAGTTGAAGTCCACATGCCTTAAAATTGTCAAGGTTGAGAAACACTGGTATAGAATATATGGACCTGTGGCTCCCAGGCCATATTTGGTGCCTAAATTTTGGCAAGCCCTTGCTGGAAATTGATGTTATGATTCCCTACTACTTTTTAAAAAAAAAAATACTAATTATTTCTCATACATATATCCTAGCTTACATCCAAGCCATCGAGATAGGATTCCCTCCTCTCATTTTTCCCTCTACCATTTTGTTAGATAGTTTATTTAAAGAAAGAAACTGGCTCAAAATCACCTCAGGAGCTTTCATGGCTGAGAATGGATTTGAACCTGTGACTTAATTTAATACTTATTTTGAAGCAGAAAGCACATCGAAATAGTAACGTAAGTATTAAAGTAGACTTAGCAAACTTTAAAGAAATACAGGTAATCCTCAACTTACGACCACAATTGAGCCCAACATTTCTGTTTGCTAAACAACAGTTGTCAAGTGAGTTTTGCCTCATTTTACGACCTTTCTTGCTGCAATAGTTGTAAGTGTGAAAAACGCTCATAGGTTACTTTTTTCAGTGCCGTTGTAACTTTGAATGGTCACTAAATGAATGGTTGTAATTGGAGGACTACATGTACTATAATTTTAAAATAAAAATAAGATTGGCTTGAAGGACTTTGGTTTTCTACCAAAGTTTATCGAGTTTTCACACTTACGACCGTTGCGGCATGCCCATGGTCACGTGATCAAAATTTGGGTGCTTGGTAACTGGCCCTGGCCCCGGGCCATGTCATCACCATCTGTAATTTCCCAGCCAGATTCACTTAACGATTGTAGGATTCATTTAACAACTGCAGTGATTCACTTAACAACTGTAGCAAAAAAGGTTGTAAAATAGAGCAAAACTCACTTATCAATTGTCTTGCTTAGCAACAGAAACGGTGGACTCAATTGTGGCTGTAAGTCAAGGATTACTTGTACAGGTAAGTCCTCGACTTATGACCACAATTGTACCCAAAATTTATGTTGTTAAGTAAGACATTTGCTAAGTGAGTTTTGCCCCATTTCTTGCCACATTTGTGAAGTTATCACTGCAGTTGATAAGTTATGGTAGTAACACGGTTGTTAAGGGAATCTAGTTTCCCCATAGATTTTGCTTGTGAGAAGGTCACAAAAGAGGATCACATGACCTTGGGACACAGCAACAGTCATAAGTATGAACCAATTGCCAAGCAACTGATTTTTGATCATGGGGATGCTGCAATGGTTGTAAGCATGAAAAACGGTCATAAGTCACTTTTTTCAGTGCCGTTGTAACTTTGAACGGTCCCTAAATGAACCGTTGTAAATTGAGGACTACCTGTATTGGGAATCCAGCCACTATGCTTTACTTCCATGGTTAAACAAATTGTGGCTTAACTGGCTTTGTGAATCCAATTCAGCTGATAAAAATGACATTTTTATTCCGATGGAAGAAGCAGTTTTAAAATTTTTTCCAACCCCTCGCCACTGTTCCGAAATGAAAGATTATACAATGTATTTATATGGTTTATTTATCCATATTATCAACATTTTCAGCCCTCTTTCATGTGGTTCATGTTCTCAAGCTGCTGAACAACAAGCTAATTAAGACAAAAATCCAAAGCATCATCATTAAAATTAATAAGAAGATACGATAATCCAAAGTGGGAGGGAAATACACCTTGCCAGCAATCAGAACACATTTATATTTTCCAGACGAAACCCTGAAAGCAGCCAGTTGAGATGGAAAAGCCTTAATCTGTCTTACCTTGGTTACCTATCTGAAATCTGCGAAAATCATTCAGATGATCCCTGTTGGAAACAGCCTATTGGGGCTAAAAGAACACCTGGTTTGCTTTAAAGGGGTGAATTCACGCAGGTACTCCTCAACTCTGGTGTCCTGCCATTGTGCCGTGGGGGGAGGGGGGATGGCATGCTTGGGATTTTCCGCTTTACTGTTCACTTGGGAATTAGGGAGGGGGATTGTCTTCGGAGATGGGACAGACTCCTTCCCAGCTGTTTTTTGCCAGGTTCCAAGGCCATTGCGCTCTGAATGTGAGCTGTTATCGGCCTAGCACCTCAGCGTTCTCAAAACTTCTTCTCAGCATCTCAGTGGCTTCCGGTGGGCTGGCCAGGGGGAAGGGGGACTTGGGACTGGAGAAACCGAAAGAATTGCTTTGTGCTTTGCGCGGGACCCTCAGATTCCGCCTGACTTTACTGCATCCAGTTTCTCTCAGTAAAAGTTCTTTTGATTCAACTCGATGGATTCAAGAGTCTTGCTGTCCTGAGGGGGCAGGTCTGACACAACCACAATTAAACCCCAAATTTCTGTTACTAAGCGAGGCAGCTGTTAAGTGAATTGGGCCTCATTTTATGACCTTTTTTGGCACCGTTAAGGGAATCACTTGTGATTGTTAGGTGAATCATGTGGTCGTTAAGTGGACCGGGCTTCCCCCGTTGACTTTGCTTGGGGGAAGCCAGCTAGGAAAGTTACAAATGGCAACCACATGACACTATCATAAATAAATGTTGGTTGCCAAGCACACTAACATTGATCACGTGACCAGGGGGATGCTGCAATGGTCGTAAGTGTGAAAAATGGTCATAAGTCACTTTCTCGTGCCGTTGTAACTTCAAACTGTCACTAAATGAATGCTTGTAAGTTGAGGACTAACTCTATTTCATATGCTTTTAAACTGCTTTCTCAGGGATTTATGGGCTAAAAATCATGTGTATTTAACTAATATATTATAGGAACCTTCCTGTGGAATTGGAAGAGTCCTTGAAGGCAGGACAAGCCCAGCCACAAGGCAGAATGAAGCCATCATCCTAGGCCAGGGGTAGGCAACCGTGGCTCTTTTATGACTCGTGGACTTCAATTCACAGAATTCCTGAGCCAGCATGGCTCAGCTTGGAAACCTCTCCCTTTCCCCTCAGCATGGCTGGCTCAGAAATTCTGGGAGTTGAAGTCCATGAGTCATAAAAGAGCCATGGTTGCTTACCCCTGCCCTAGGCAACAGATGCTGGAGGCCTTCAACATGCTCCACATCTTTTCTTAAGATGGAGCGACAGGTAGTCCTTGACTTACCACAGTTCATTTAGTGACCGTTCAAAGTTACAACGGAGCTGAAAAAAGTGACCTATGACCCTTTTTCACACTTAGAACCATTGCAGCACCCCCAGGGTCACATGATTTACATCCCAATGCTTGACAACTGATTCATAATTATGACGGTTGCCATGTCCCAAGGTCAGTGATCCCTATTGTGATCTTCTGACGAGCAACGTCAATGGGGAAACCAGACTCACTGGTAACAACCAGGTTACTTAACTTAAAAATAGCAGTGATTCACTTAACCAATGTGGCACGAAGAGTCGTAAAATGGGGCAAAACTCACTTAACCAATTTGTCACTTAGCAACAGGAATTCTAGGCTCAATTGTGGTCATAAGTCGAGGACTACCTGTACTATGCAAGGGAGTCGTGCCTGATCTTAGCATCTTTTGTAATTTCAAATGATCACTAAATGAATGGTTGCATAAGTCAAGGACCCCCCGTATATCAGTTTTAGCTTCAGAGGGGCTTCTGCTGGCACATAAGTTGTTGGCGCTCCGGGATTTTCAACCTGTCCTAGAACAGCAGAGGGAAGCTGTGCCCAACGATGACTTTGCCCAGCTTCAGGTGGTGTACCTATTTATTTATGTGTCTCTGGAGATTCTCAGTCACCCAGATCACGGTTGTCCCAAAGATGCTTTTTCAAGAAGCAGCTGGATTTTCTTGTTTTTCTTTGAAGACGTTTCCCTTCTCAACCAAGAAGCTTCTTCAACTTTGAATGGATGATGGGGAATGGAAGGATTTATACTCCTTGCAGACAGCTGGTCATTTTCATTCTTTCAGAGAGTCCTTGAGCCCACCTGGAGTTTTGTCTGTGTCCTCAGGGTCACCTGAGTGGTGCAAATGGGTGTGGAGCCTTCTTGGAACTGCTGAAAGGACGGTGTTGTAAACTGGAGATAGAGGATGTCGTATCCTTCCCCCTCTGTTGAGAGAGGGCTGTTCAATTTTGACCTAGATGGCCTCTTTGACCCCTCTTTCAAACCAATCAGTACATATTTATTTATCTACTTAGAGAATTTATATGGCCACCTACTCTCTTTCAGTGACTCTATGTGGCTTATAAACAATAAAAAAAACCAACTTGTATTTTTCCTGGGAAAGAAGGCACTGGCAGCGTTCACTCATGACCTTGTCACCCCAGATATGGACTACTACAGTATGCTCTACAAGGGATTGGCCCTGAAGACTATTTGGAAGCTACAACTGGTGCAAAATATAACAGGTTATATATACTACGGGTAGTCCTTCACGTATGATCACAATTTGGATGGGAAAATTTATTGGTTAGTGACATAGAGGAATCATGTGACTTCACCTAATGTTACAACCTTTTTTTGCCATGGTCATTAAGTAAATCATTGCAGTCGTTAAGCAATTCCAGTTTCCTCCATTGACTTTGCTTGCTGGAAACTGGGTGGAAAAGTTGCAAACGTCATAAATGAAGTCAGTTGCCACATGCCCAAATTGCAATCATGTTTGCCAGGGGGACGGTGTGACGGTCACAATTTCAAGGCTGTACGTAACCTTTTTTCAGTGCTGTCAAACTGTCGTTAAATTGAGGACTATCTGTAATACAGTACAGACAAAACTAATATTGTCCTACAACACCAGCATTCATGAGCTGCATTGTTTTCTGGTTTGTTTCAGGTGCAATTTATTGTGCTGGTTATAACTTTTAAAGTCCAATATCAAGTTTTACATCGTTTGAGGCCTGGTTGTTTATGAGACAACTTTTTTCACCTACAATCTTTCCATCCAGTCAAGCCTGCAGAGAGTTTTGTTAAAAGTCCCCACATCTCAAAAGGGGCAGTGGGACAGGATTTTAACCATGATGTGTTTGTTTGCTTGTGTGCCATCTTTATCACTTTTACAAGTGATTGTCCACTAGGATCTCGGAGTCCTAGTGGACAATCACTTAAATATGAGCCAGCAGTGTACTGCAGCTGCCAAAAAAGCCAACACAGTCCTAGGCTGCATTAACAGAGGGATAGAATCAAGATCACATGAAGTGTTAATACCACTTTACAACGCCTTGGTAAGGCCACACTTGGAATACTGCATTCAGTTTTGGTCACCACGATGTAAAAAAGATGTTGAGACTCTAGAAAGAGTTCAGAGAAGAGCAACAAAGATGATTAGGGGACTAGAGGCTAAAACATATAAGGAATGGTTGCTGGAATTGGGTATGTCTAGTTTAACAAAGAGAAGGACGAGGGGGGACATGTTAGCAGTGTTCCAATATCTCAGGGGCTGCCCCAAAGAAGAGGGAGTCAAGCTATTCTCCAAAGCACCTGAAGGCAGGACAAGAAGCAACGGATGGAAACTCACCAAGGAGAGAAGCAACCTAGAACTAAGGAGAAATTCCCTGACAGTGAGAACATTTAATCAGTGGAACAACCTGCCTCCAGAAACGGTGAATGCTCCAACACTGGAAGTTTTTAAGAAGAGATTGGACAGCCATTTGTCTGAAATGGTATAGGGCAGTGGTGGCGAACCTATGGCATGGGTGCCAGAGGTGGCACTCAGAGCCGTTGCCCCAGTCCTAGGCCTTCAGTTGGGTTTTATAAAACCTTTTCACTTTAGGCCTCCGCTGCCATGTACAAAAAAAAAGTGCAATCAATCAGTCAATTTCAACTTCTCGCGAGAAAAAAAAAGATCTTGCAAAGTTGGAATTGATTAAACTTTTTAGTCCCCACCCAGTCTGCGTTACTACTGTAGCCACGCCCACCCGACTATTGAGGATGCATAAGTGGGTTTTGGGTTGCAGTTTGGGCATTCAGTCTCTAAAAAGCTCGCCATCAGTGGTATAGGGTTTCCTGCCTGAGGAGGGGTTGGACTAGATGACCTCCAAGGTCCCTTCCAACTTAATAATAACAATAATAATAATAATAATAATAGTAAGGCAGTGTGGACCTATCCAACACACCTTTCTCCTCCTCTTTTCCCCACAATAACCTTGTAAGGTGGGTTGGGCTGAGACAGAGACTGGCCCAAGGACACCCAAAGTTCCTCCCTCCTGTTCAACATCCCACTGACAGGCAGTCCTTGACTTACGACCACAACGGAGCCCAAAATTTATCTTGTTCAGTGATCTATTTGTTAAGTGAGTTTTGTCCCATTTTACGACCTTTCTTGCCACAGTGGTTAAGTGAATCACTACAGTTGTTAAGTTAGTAACACAATTGTTAAGTGAACGTGGCTTCCCCATTGACTTTGCTTATATCAGGAGGTCACAAAAAGGGATCACATGACCCGCGGGACATGGCAACTGTCATAAATACGAATCTTTGCCAAGGGTCTGAATTTTAATCACATGACCATGGTGATGTGGCACTGGTCATAAGTGTGAAAAAAGGTCTTAAGTCACTTTTTTCAGTGCCGTTATAATTTCAAACGGCCACTAAAAGAACTATTATAAGCCGAGGACTACCTATATAAGATCCAGGCCCTCACTTCTAATATTTAGTAAACATCTGAAAATATTGCTTTTTCAAGATGCATTCAGGGCCACAGGTGTACTGTATATAGCCAGAGATCCCTGATGATACATGATAGCGGCTTTTCTGATTTTTTTTTTAAATGCTGGGATAAGTATAATAATGTTATTTGTGTTATTGAATTTTTGACAGAGCTTTCAAGTTATTCTTTGTTTGATTATTTATTTATATCCCACTTTATTCTTTCTACAAATAACTCAAGGTGAAGAATGTATCCAACATACTCTCCCCTCCTATTTTTCCCACAACACTCCTGTGAGGTGGGTCGGACTGAGAGAGAAGGACTGACCCAAAGTTACCCAGCTGGCTTTCATGCCTAAGGCGGGACTTGAACTCACAACCTCACACTTTCTAGCATGGCACCTTAATCACTAGATCAGGGGTTGGCTTTTTTATGACTCCTGGACTTCAACTCCCAGAATTCCTGAGCCAGCCATGCTGAGGGGAAAGGGAGAGGTTTCCAAGCTGAACCATGCTGGCTCAGGAATTCTGGGAGTTGAAGTCCACGAGTCATAAAAGAGCCAAGGTTGCCTACCCTTGCACTAAATCAAACTGACTCTTTGATCTTGTATTGTTACTCTGACTTGGGAGCTGCTTAAGTGGCATAAAAACAGATGCTGTCAATAAAGTAACTAACCAGGAGCTATTCAGGAGAAAATAGTTTTCTCCATGTGGCCTGACCTTTAAGCTTCCAAACAGGAAACAGAATTTGGACAACGCCACTTTGGCATTGAACCATATCAGCTGGGCTTTTTAATTTCTCCAACAAGGTATGCCAGCTGTTTAAAAAAAAATGAAAAAAATGAAATGTAGCCTGCTCCAGGACGTTCGCTTGTTTAATTCAAAAAAAGCCCGCATCTCATATTATGAATTCCTTCGGGATAACTTGACATTATTTGAGCATGACGGATGCATTTTGGCGAGAGACATAGAGGAAATCCCTTCATATCTATTGCAGAAGATAAATGTGATTTAAGACCTTCCATCCGGTATGGGAACAAACTTCATTGAAATGTTGGCATTGAGGACAAGGTTTTGACTTTTTATGTCACTGCAGAAACGGGGACTGAAAAGCACCAAAGCTCAGCCCTGCTTTGCATGAGAGTAAAATATGCTGAATGCAGCTTATAATTGCTTCCATGTAAACATGCACAGATCTGGAGAAGCAGCTTGAACACTTTTCCAAAGACCGTTTTCAAGCGCAATACAGGTGCAATATAAGCAGTCCTGCACTTATGACCACAATTGGGCCAGAACTTCTGTCACTAAACAATGCAGTCATTAAGTGAGGCAGGCCCGATTTTACAACCTTTCTGCTGTGGTCTTTAAGCGAATTCCAGCTTTGATTTTACTGGTTGGAATCCTCCGGGGAAGGTCGCCAGTGACAATCACTTGAACCCGGGACACTGCAACCTTCATGAAAACAGGTAGTCCTCGATTTACGACCACAACTGAGCCCAAAATTTCTGTTGCTAAGTGAGACATTTGTCCAGTGAATTTTGCCACATTTGATCTCTTCTCTCTTGCCATTTCTTGCCACAGTTGTTAAGTGAATCACTGCAGTGGATAAGTTAGTAACAACATTGTTAAGTGGATCTGGCTTCCCTATTGACTTTGCTTGTCAGAAAGCTACAAAAGGGAATCTCATGACCCCGGATGCTACAACCGTCATAAATACGTGTCAGTTGCCAAGCATCTGAATTTTGATCACATGACCATGGGGACGTTGCAATGGTGGCAAGTGTGAAAAATGGTCATAACTCACGCCACTTTTTTCAGTGCTACTGTGTTTTTGAACGGTTGTTAAAAGAACGGTTTTAAGACAAGGACTTGCCTGTATTAATAATTTCCAACAAATTCAATAGGATTTACTCTCAGGCAAGTGGGAACATCATTGAAAACTCAAGCACACGTGCATTATAGAGTTCTGAGGTGGCATTCATAACAGACTGGATTCAAATGCAGCAATGCAGAATTTCAGCATAAAATGGGTGTCCACCAAGGGAGGGAGAGTGTGTCAGGGGTCAGATTGACCCCCTCCAGCAAGCCAAAGAGGCAGAGGATAAACTAAATTAGGCTTCTGAAAAAAAAAAAAAGCAGGCTGCAGAATTATACCCTGGGTAAAATAAGTATTCAAAATTATAAAGGAAAATGTGTGGGGTTTAAAAAAAAAAACCTCGATTATTGCAAATCTGTCCGACTGTCTCCCCTTTCTTAAGCTTGGGGGAAATGGTCGCTTTCATCCAATCCATTTTCTGTAAGCAAAGATAGCTTGGTGATGTGTGTCCACCCCGCCCCCCCCCTCGCCTTTTGCACAGAGCTTCGTCGTTATAATGCAGCTGAGGTTCTTCCCCGGCTTTCTCCGCCTGCATCGCGCAGCCACGGATACAGACAGGTAGCTGCGGATATGCAGAGGCCAGAAATAGGGATGCGGGAACCAGAAATACAGATCTGGAAAATATGGATGCCTTTAAAAGAAAATCATTTTTTTTCCCTCTTGGAAGAGAAGGAAAACAGCTGAGGCGGGGGCAGATTTTCCCCCCCTTGAAGGGTGGAGGGGAGGTCTCCCCCGTTATCCGACTATTGAGCTTTTTTAAAAATGTAATTTGCAAACGCCCCTCTCCCCCCCCCCCCGTCCCCGGCTTCTCTCTCCCCGTCGTCTCCTTCCCCGCGGCGATGGCTACCTTGGCGGCGGCGGCATCGGGGCTCTGCCGGAGGCTCTGGGCGCACCGCGCGTGGCAAGCTGAGATGTCGCCCAGCTGAGCGGCGAAGGGATCGGCGTCCTCGGAGGGCGGCGGCGGCGAGGAAGGAGCGGCCAGAGCCAGGCACGCGAGGGCCACCGCCGCGGCCAGCAGCTGCAAGAGCGCGGCGCTCGCTGCCATCGCCCCGGCCGGAGGGTGTCCTGGGGAGGGGATCGCGGGCGGGCCTTTTTTGCCACGGGAGGCGGCGGCGGCGGCGGCAGAGAGAGGAGGAGGAGGAGCGGGGCGAGCCGGCGACGGCAGTCAGAAGCGGGCGCAGGAGAAGCGGCGAGACGTCGGGGGCGCGCCGGGCGAGCAGCGGAGCAGCCTGGGAGCGGCGGAGGGAGGAAAGCCGCCCTGCCCGGGAGCGGGGCTGGCGAGGAGGCAGAGCGCGGCGGAGGCTGGGCGCAAGACTGGCAAGGGGGAGAGACGGAAGCGAGGCGGGACAAAGAGCAAGGGATGCCCCCCCCCGCGTGTGTGTGTGTGTATGTGTGTGTGTCTCCCCAGATAAAATGGCAAGAGAGAAGAGAAGAGATCAAATGGATGGATGGATAAAGAAGAAGAGAAGAGAGGCTATAAAATGGATGGATGAAGAGAAGAGAAGAGATCAAATGGATGGATAGAGAAGAGATCAAATGGATTGATGGATAAAGAGGAAAAGAGAAGAGATCAAATGGATGGAAAGAGAAGAGGAGAGAAGAGAGAAGCTATTTAATGGATGGATAGAGACAAGAAGATAGAAGAGAACAGATCAAATGGATGGATGGATAGAGAAGAGGAGAAGAGAGGCTATCAAATGGATGAAGAGAAGAAAAGCTATCAAATGGATGGATGATGAAGAGAAGAGATCAAATGGATGGATGGATAGAGAAGAGGAGAAGAAAAGAGAAGAGATCAAATTGATGGATAGAGAAGAGGAGAAGAAAAGAGAAGAGATCAAATGGATGGATGGAAAGAGAAGAGGAAAAGAGAAGAGATCAAATGGATGGATGGGTAAGAAGAGAAGAGAAGCTATCAAATGGATGGATGGATGAAGAGAAGATAAAAGATCACATGGGTGGATGGATGGATAGAGAAGAATAGAAGAGAAGATATCAAATGGAGGGATGGATGAAGAGAAGAGGATAAGCTATCTAATGATGGATAAAGAAGAGAGAAGAAAAGAGAACGTATCAAATGGATGGAAAGAGGAGAGAAGAGAAGAGAGAAGCTATTTAATGGATGGAGAGAAGAGAAGAGAAGAGAAGAGAGAAGAGAGGATTAAATTCCTGCTGTCTCAGGAATTCTGGGAGTTGAAGTCCACAGTCATAAAAAACTTAAAAGAACGAAGGAACTCACCAAAATCCCTGTCAGAAAAACAGAGAAAAAATGTTCACTGAAGTATATGACATACGTGCCCCCTTAGGATCTTTGGTTCTTATAAAAATATTAAGTGCACCTTTCAAATTCACTAAACAGGTAGTCCTCAACTTATGACCACAACTGAGACGGAAACTTCGATTGCTAAGTGATGTGATCATTAATTGAGTCATGTTGAGACTCTAGTCTAGAAAGAGTGCAGAGAAGAGCAACAAAGATGATTAGGGGACTGGAGGCTAAAACATACAAGAAACGGTTGCTGGAATTGGGTATGTCCAGTTTAACAAAGAGAAGGATGAGGGGGGACATGATAGCAGTCTTCCAAGATCTTAGGGGCTGCCCCAAAGAAGAGGGAGTCAAGCTATTCTCCAAAGCACCTGAAGGCAGGACAAGAAGCAATGGATTGAAACTAACCAAGGAGAGAAGCAATCTGGAACTAAAGAGAAATTTTCTGACAGAGTAATTAATCAGTGGAACAACCTCCTCCAGAAGCGGTGAATGCTCCAACACTGGAGGTTTTTAAGAAGAGATTGGACAGCCATTTGTCTGAAATGGTATAGGGCAGTGGTGGCGAACCTATGGCATGGGTGCCAGAGGTGGCACTCAGAGCCGTTGCCCCAGTCCTAGGCCTTCAGTTGGGTTTTATAAAACCTTTTCACTTTAGGCCTCCGCTGCCATGTACAAAAAAAAAAAGTGCAATCAATCAGTCAATTTCAACTTCTCGCGAGAAAAAAAAAGATCTTGCAAAGTTGGAATTGATTAAACTTTTTAGTCCCCACCCAGTCTGCGTTACTACTGTAGCCACGCCCACCCGACTATTGAGGATGCATAAGTGGGTTTTGGGTTGCAGTTTGGGCATTCAGTCTCTAAAAAGCTCGCCATCAGTGGTATAGGGTTTCCTGCCTGAGCAAAGGTTGGACTAGATGACCTCAAGGTCCCTTCCAATTTTATCATTGTTGTTGTTGTTATTGTTGTTATTGTTATTATTGTTATTATCTGACCATGCCTGATTTTACAATTTACAATAAATACAGGTAGTCCTCGACTTATGACCATAATTGAACCCAAAAGTTATGTTGCTAAACAAGGCAGCTGTTAGATGAATTTTGGCCCATTTTACAACCTTTCTTGCCACAGTTAAGTGAATCACCACAGTTTTGGAGTTTGTAACGTGATTGTTAAGTGGATCTGGCTTCCCCATTGACTTTGCTTATCAGAAGGTCACAAAAGCCATTCACATGACCCCAGGATGCTGCAACTGCCATAAATATGAGTCAGTTGCCAAGTGTCTGAATTTTGATCACATGACCCTTGGGGACGCTGCAACGGTTGTAGGTTAAGTGGTAAGTGTGAAAAACAGTATAAATCATTTTTTTCAGGGCTGTTGTAACTTTGAATGGTCGCAAAATGAACTGTCCATGTCCATTGGCACGTGATCAAAATTCAGACACCTGGCAACTGACTCATATTTACGACAGTTGCAATATCCCGGGGCCACGTGATCCCCTTTTACGATCTTCCGACAAGCAAAGTCAATGGGGAAGCCAGATTCACTTAACTGTGTTACTAATTCAACAACTACAGTAATTCATTTAACAATTATGGCAGGAAAGGTCGTCAAATGGGACACAATTCACTTTAACCACTTAGCCACAGAAATTTGGGGCTCAGTTGTGGTCATAAGTCGAGGACTACCTGTATTTTGTTATTCTCTTATTCCATGGGCAGCCTCCCCAACATCTCTCCGGGTTTTCCCAAATAATCTTCTCCGTATTGGGAAGGGAGGCTGAACCCCCATTTTCCAGCCTCTGCCCCAGATGAAAAGTGTTGGAGGTCCAGGAAGCAAATAATTTCTGGAAGTGCCATTTTATCTTGCAAGCAATTTTTCGAGCACATCTGGATAACATATTTTGGCTTATCGATGCTGTGTTAAAAAGGCGCTAGGAGGAAGATCAAAGCTATCTGAATCATCTGTTGCAATTAAGGCAGTGTCATCCCATTTCGGTTGATTAATCATAGAGACGTGGGTTGATTAATTGGCTGAGCGATCCAGTCTTCGCCAACTTGGCCACACTACCTGGGAATGTTAGTGGTTCCAACACATCTGGAAAGCAGAGAACCAGATTAAAAACCGAGCCTGTTCTACAAAACCCCATTGCAACCATTCATTTACACTGGTAGTTCTCGACTTCACTACAGTTCGTTTAGTGACCGTTCAAAGTTACAACAGCACTGAAAAAAGTGACTTATGACCGTTTTTTACACTTATGACCATTGCAGCATCCCCCCATGTTCATGTGATCAAAATTCCGACGCTTGGTAACTGACTCATATTTATGACAGTTAGAGTGTCCCGGAGTTATATGATTCCCTTTTGCATCCTTCTGACAAGAATAGAATAGAATAGAATAGAATAGAATAGAATAGAATAGAATAGAATAGAATAGAATAGAATAGAATAGAATAGTGATGGCGAACCTTTTAGAGACCAAGTGCCCCAAAACTGGCCCCGCCCCCATTCCACTCCCTGCCCCGCTCCCACCCCGCCTGCCCATAGGCCCACTCACCATCTCCAGGGCCTGCCATAGATCGCCCAGGCAGCCCAGCAGTGCCATGGCAGCTGCGCCCCGCAGCATCAACTGTGCGTGATGAGGTGTGAGAGCAGAGTCTTGTCTACACTGCCTGGCTGCCATGTCCTTGGCTGTGCTGCTCCGCGTGGGCCACGCTCGGGGGCGACTTTCCGCCGGGGAGGCTGCTGGTGGGGTCGTGGGGGGAGGCAAGGCTGGGACAATGGCACGTGTGCCCACAGAGAGGGCTCCAAGTGCCGTCTCTGACACCCGTACCATAGGTTCGCCACCACTGGAATATAGAATAGAATAGAATAGAATAGAATAGAATAGAATAGAATAGAATAGAAGCTTGGATTTCTTCTTGTCCAGCCCCCTGCTCAAGCAGGAGAACCTATACCATCTCAGACAGGTGATTGTCCAGTCTTTTCTTAAAAATCTCCAGTGATGGAGCGCCCACGATCTCTGGTGGCAAGCTGTTCCACTGGTTGATTGTCCTCACTGTCAGGAAGTTTCTCCTTAATTCCAGGTTGCTTCTCTCCTTGACCAGCTTCCAACCATTGTTTCTCATCCTTCCATCTGGTGCTTTGGTGAACAACCTGGCCCTCTCTGCCTTGTCAGTGGGAAAGCTAGATTCACTTAACAACCGTGTTACTAGCAACTGCAGTGATTCACGTAACAACTGTGACAAGAAAGGTCGTAAAATGGGACAAAATTCACTTAACGAATGTCTCACTTAACAACAGAAATTTGGGGCTCCATAGTGGTTGTAAGTCGAGGACTACCTTTACTCTTTTTATTGACTGTGATTTCAAAAGGGTAGTTAGCTGCTTGGAGAGTATCTTTTTAGAAGGAACAGCTATTTAGATTGTCCCTGACTTAACAACCATAATTAAGCGCAACATTTGTGTTGCTAAGCGAGGCAGTTCTATAGTGAGTTGTGCCCCATTTTATAACCTTTTTGCTACAGTTGTTGAGCAGATCACTGCAGTTGTTAAGTGAATTATGCAGTCGTTAAGCAAATCTGGCTTCCCCCATCGACTTTGCTTATTGGAAGCCGGCTGGGAAGGTTACAAAGGATGATCACATGACTCTGGGACACTGCAACTGTCATAAGTACATGTCAGTTGCCAAGCTCTACATTTTGACCACATGACCATGGAGATTCTGCAGTGGTCATGAAAGTGAAAACTAGTCTAAGTCACTTTTTTGGTCAGTAAATGAATGGTTGTAAGTTGAGGACTACCTGTCAAACCCAGTTATTATTTAATTCAGCAATGAATTAGCCTTCTTGTGATTAAGTGACAGGACAATGGCAGGACAATTTTAATACTAATCTTAGCTTAGGAGGGCACACCTATTCTCTTTTTATCTTCACAACAACTCATTGAGGTAGAATAGGCTGAGAACTATGAACTCCTATGAGCTTTAGAGCAGTTTAGCAGTTTAACTAATTTTTTGGTCCATAATCCAGCTGCTAAGCAATATTGCC